ATCGGTGAAGCCACTTGCGCATGCCCGACCTACTCTACTCTATCACCTGCGGGCTTTTCAAATGCTCAAAAACAAGCTGAGACTTTGAATGAATAAGTAATTAAAAATTAGAAAAAAAAAGAGACATTTAAAGTGGACAAAAAATTGAGGTATGTGAAATCAATTTAAAAGTGCAAACAGGTTTAATGCAGTGTTTTCCCCAGTAGCAGTTCCACTGATATACTTGTAGATGCTGAAAAAATATCAATTCCCTCAGCATCAACATTTTTTGTGCCATTGTAAAGTACTGTTGCACTTTTAAGGTGATTTATCCAAGTTTTGATCAAAGCGGTATTTTATCCTTAAGCCCTAACTATATCTCTAGCTATAGCTGTAACACTATCCCCATCGATAAATGATTACAGAATTTGCTAAAATAATAGCACACTACACATTTTTGGTAAACCTAATGAATATTTTATTTTACTTCAATTCTTTGAAGTGCCCTAAAGTAACTATATTGTAACTATGTTAATGAACAATTACAATATACTACTTATATACTTAACCCATTCCCATTCCCTAGATAATTTCTACAGCTCTGTGCTTGTACAATTACAAAAACCACGAATACAACAGCCAGGAAGATTATTAATTAAATGTGCGCTAATCACGATAGATCCCAAGAAGAGCATTATTATTGCTATTTCAAAGACCCCCATTTCATCATGTGATTCAGTTTGTCTCGTATCAAACGTACTTTCACTATCTCCGCTAAAAAAATTGAAAGAGTTACAAGTCTCTTCGTGCGAGTTCTGTACATAGTTTGGGGAGGGGGGGGGGGAATAAATGCCGGCGCTGCTTCTTTGCACGGGTGAACATGAACAAACGTTTATATGAAAATACAAAAAATACTTATATAAATGTTTTTAAATACCGAAATAGCCAGTTTGTAATAAATATCCATATATACGTATGTGTTTGTGCGTGTGGGTGTGTGTTTGTGCGTGTGTGTGTGGGTGGGTGTGTGTGCCTGCGTGTATGTGTGTGTGTGTGTGTGTGTGCGCGCTTGCCTATAAACACTGAGAGAAATACCCCATCAACACATTAAAAATAGATCATCATAACACATTTGTTCTGGGGCCACCAGCGACCACTTAATTTATTGAGTCATGTGGATTATAATAAAATAAATGATGGATGACCTTACCTACCAAAATTAGTCGGTGGTGACACTGGGCTAAAAACTCGACTCCACACTTGAAATTTGAAATGCATCAATACTAGTTGTTGTTATTGTTTTGTTTAACGGGTAGGCTATAGATCAGTGTTTCCCAACCTTTTTTGAGTGGCGACCCCCTTTTATAAAAAGTAAGTGACCCGCGACCCCATAGAATTAAAAAGCCGAAATTAGTATGGAAATTAATAAGCACTACAATAAGATTTTCTAGTAGACTTTCAATATGAACTACTCTTGATAACTGTTTTAATAGCATGAGTAAGATTGCATACTATTCACTAAACCTTCGTGGTTAAGTTTTTAATTTAATTTTTTTTTTTGTTAACGCCAACCTATTTCATTACAACTATCTTAATTTTGTTTTTAATCGAAGAATAGTGTTAAAATATATTCTCGAAAAGTCAATCAATTTTACGTTTGGGTATGAATGGTGAATACTACACCAAAATTGTGTCTGCAGTTTTTCATCTTACTCGGAATCACTCTGCAAATCAAAGAATTCATCTTGTAATTCATCGGGAATGCTGGCAACATCAAGGGAAGAAAGAATGGGTAATGCGTAAAGGCAGATTCTTCTTTTTTCAGCTCAGAGAAATAGCGATGCAGATCGTTTTCAAGAGATTCAAGATGCCCAGAAATCGCTTCTTTCAAAATTTTAATTATCTCACAATCAGATTCATCTACCACACCGCAGAGTTTCTCAAATTTACAATATTTCCAAGATTTATTTTCTTTACCGATTTTGCAGCTTTGATAAAAATGCCCCGAGATTATCATGGAAAGTTATAATATTCGTTCATTTTCACTGAATCTTATCTTGATGTTCGAACACATCTGCTAGGTATGATACTCGCTCCAACCACTCTAGGGAGCTAAATCTTTTCTGTTTTCTGAAAGCCGGATTTTGAGCTAAACATAGATGGCGCACCTTCCGTACAAACCCCCACAGCCGTTCTAACCCATTTTATCATCCAGTTTCAAAAAAAGATATTTATTTTCTCCATGCTATCTTCACGAAAGAGCAACTCTTCTTTGCTATCATCCGCATGAATATAGACACAGACCAACAACTGCGAACACGAACTCTGTTGATTTATCAACTTGAAAAGCAAACAATGGTGAAAGCTTAATTTCAATAAAAATGTGTTATTTAACATTTACGTACATGCAGCGTTTGATGAGATTTTCTGCAATTGTTTTTTTTTTTTTTTTTTTTGCTTGGCATTTTCTATCGTGACTTCATTTGATGCTTGCACTAATGCTGGTGAAAACTTCCTGTTCGATCAAGTCTCTGGCGTTTGCAACTAGCTTCTTACCGACGAAAGAACTCCATATATTTTTTGGTGTGTTCCGAATGACTCGTCTCAAATGACGTTTTAGTTTTGAAGATTTCATAGATTCGTGACTGAGAACAACTTTGTACATTGCGCTTTGTTTCTTCTCTATTACATTTTCAGTGATGTTAATGAAGCCGAATTTTAAAAATTCTTCTAAATATTTATGTTTTGTTTCAAATTACTAATGTTTAGTATACCAGTTGGCGACCCCCCAGAAAGACCTTCGCGACCCCCAGGGGGGTCGCGACCCCCAAGTTGGGAACCCATGCTATAGATGATATAGGAACGGTGTGCTCGAATAGTAGAGCGTTTGACTGCTAATCCAAAGGTCTCGAGTTCGTAACCCCCGGCTTGGGTCCTCCCAGTTATGATGGGTGCCTGACTCACATTAGGTAAAGTAAATACAGCTAGACATCGTGCTGATCACACTATCCCTTCATATGCCGAGGTCACTGAAACAGATAAACTCTTCTTCACCTGGACCGTAAGGTTTAAAGGGGTACCTCTTCATAGATGACGTGACGTGACACATGTGTGTGGGGGTGGGGGGGGGGTAGACGCTGGGTTCATACCTTTGTTTACTTCTAGGGGTGGGGGGCTGATTCTACAAGTTTAACACTGTATTTGTGTACTTTTTAAGGATGTAATTTTTAAAAATATTATTATAGGCGAGTGTGGGGTTTTTTTTTACTTTTTTTGTAATGATAAGGGTGGAGCTTTTTTTTTTTCTTTTTTTTTTTACATTTTTTTGGCCTATATACATTTATCATCAATATTCCACTGATTTTTTATTTCACTGGAATTAACGTTTAACAATCTACACACCACACGGTGGAAATTTCACTATGACAAATGTCCTGTCTTCTTTAATAATGGATGACTTTTCCAAAAAGAAAGGTTTTAAAATATCATTCATAATCTATCAGTAAAAGTTAGAGTTATTTTTTACATCAGCTAGTAGGCTTTATATTAGTTAATGATAGCCTACTACCATTAACATACTGAGAATGAATCAGATTTACTGGTGGTATAAAAGGTAAGCTACCCCAAAATGTGGGTTATATATTTATTTGAGCATGATACTGTTCCATTTTTTGATGATTCTTGACAAACATATTTTGTGAGGAGGTATGAACCATACAGCACAGCCCAGGCTTTTTCGGGACGTTTTTAACAGTAGCCAATAGATGGGGCGGGGGAGAGGGGGGGGGGGTAGTGTTGATCGAACGGCTTAGTAGGATCACTTTAAATTGTGTACACAATTCGCCTGGATTTAAGGGACTTGAACTGTAATTACCTTTCTGTTTTTTGCCAAGGTAGGTAAGTCATGTTGTTATACTAGCCTGAGTTACCTTGTAAAATTGCGTTATGGCTGGTTAAGAGTTAGGCTAAAAGTTTATAGCACTGCTACGTGAATAAGTTAAAAATTACTTCAGGAAGATATATTCTGACTATTGCTTATAGCTTGTATTTTAAAAAGCATATTTAGTTATGTTTAAGGCCGTTATAATTTGGTCTGTTCATCCTATAAAACATAAGTAACTAACTAGATCTATATGAATATAAATCAGCTAATGATTTTCTTATACTTGTTTTTAATATGCAATCACCATTTCCAAACGCTTAAATATAGCGGTAATCAAAATCTTACGACAGCTTAAGAAGACCAGGTGTCAGAGCCTGTGTTTTAATGATGCAGAAAGTTTTCCTTTTAGCATACAATATTTGCTCATCTTCATTCGATAACATTACACTATGATTAAGCGTTATGATTGGAGTAAATGCAGTTATAATTTATTTTATGGTTAATGTAATGCAGTGGCGTAGCGAGGTCGGGTGTCACCCGGTGCGGCACTTAATGGTGTCACCCCCCCCCCCCCCAGAGGCGTTGCGACCCTTCCCGGGGACAAACTTTCAAGTTTTCGATTTGCACCCCCCCCCCTTCAATCTTTCGATTTGCACCACCACCCCCCTCAAGTTTTCGATTTGCACCCCTCCCCTCAAACTTTCGATTTGCAACCCCCCCCCCCCTCAAGTTTTTCTCTATATATCTTGCTATTTTTTGCCTTGGCGTCACCCCCCTAAATGGTGTCACCCGGTGCGGTCCGCACCCCCCCCCCCCTCGCTACGCCCCTGATGTAATGCTAATTGTTATCCGTGACATTTAAATAACACTTAGCGGGTTGTTTTTTTTTTAATTACACAACTTACTGAATTTAATTTATTTTGGCAAATATGCTATAAAATCTAAAGACTTAACGAAGTAAAAATACATTTTACCATACACCCCAAAAGCGCGAAACATGTAATTTAGCGCAATGAAGCGGTTAGGTGTCAAAACGAGGCCTGGAGCTCCTGACGTGACCAAGCGACTCTGCGCAAAGGTTAGATACACAGAATAACTCCAATGCCGCAATAAAGCTCTATTTAAACTCGTGTCAAATTCTCAAGACAGGCGGAACGCTTGACGCTGCTAAGCTCCAGTCTACTCGTTGTTTTTTCGTGGTATTTCTTTAAAGTTTGGAAACAGAGCTTAACTATACTCGATTAATTCGATTATTAATTTAAAATTATTTTAACTTATACTAGACATTCTAATTTATATTATTGTAATAGTTGAAAAGATCGATTAGCAGACTTATTTTGATATACATAGCGAGACCAGAAAAAAAGTCTGTAAATTCAGGTGCAAATCTGGAGAAAACAGCATCACCGCACTTGAAAGTGGAACATCGGAAACTGAAACGTGGGCTGGGAGTTGAGACATTGAAACACATTTTGTTTAAGTAGAATTCATTAAAAAAGTAAGTCTAACTTTTCACTTTTGTAAAAAAAAAATTAATTATGTAAACTTTCAATGTTTAAAAAGACTCAATTTTCTTTTTAAAAAAAAGGGTGTAAATTACGTAAACACTTAATGTTTGAGAAGTCTCACTTTTTATTTTAATTGTGTTAAATTTCGAAGTATAAAAAGTAAGTCTCTTTTTGTTATTATTTTTTAACTTCCAATGTTTGAAAGTCTCACTTTTTATTTAAAGTGAGTTTAAGTTCAGAATATAAAAAGTAACGTTTTAACATTATTATATTTTATAACAAACGGGAAATAACTTGACTAATTAGAAAGTTATCCCTCCCCCCCCCCATTCCCCCCCCCTCCCATTAAAGGTAAATTATATTAAATTTTAAATTTCCTCTCATATAAGCAGAGTTTCTTCCAGGCATCTCTTCGGGGTTCGCCCCCCCCCCCCCCCCCCCCGAACGAAATGAAATTTATATAATTTATATAGAAAATATATACTTTTAACAGTGTCCGCCCCCCCCCCGAAGAAAGTCTACCGCCCCCCCCCCCCGAAAATTTTAAGTGCCCCCCTGGAGAAAAAAGTCTGGAAGAAACACTGCATATAAGACTTCTCATTAAAGTTAATCTTAAAAGTAACATATTTGGTTACAAATGGAAAGATAACTTTGTCCGAGAACTGAGAAATTATTAAAATATCTCAATCTAGTTTACAAAACTTATTATTAGCGGGCCAACTACAAAAATATGATATATATATATATATATATATATATATATATATATATATATATATATATATATATATATATATATATATATATATATATATATATATATATATATACATATATCATGTAAGGACTATGGAAGTGATGTGCCGTGTTCTCGGCTTTAAAGAAGTGAATCAAATCAAGTTTTTGAAGTGTGCCGCAGCAGAGGTCATAGGAACAGCAACGTTGGTGATGATAGGCTGCGGCTCTGTTGGTACTCTGAACCCCATGGAGGGGGCTCGCACCATCTCCGTGGCCTTTTCTTTCGGGTTGGCCTTGACCCTCACCATCTGGGCGTTCGGGCACGTCAGCGGGGCGCACGTGAATCCGGCGGTGTCGTTGGGTTTTTTCATCGCTGGTCAAATAGGGCTGCTGAAGGTAAAATAGTGCTTTTTTTACATTTTCAATTTGCCTTCAGTTAACAATCTCCATATATATAGGGCCTATATATATATATATATATATATATATATATATATATATATATATATATATATATATATATACTATTATATATTTATTTATACTTTTATACATATATATAAATATATATATATATATATATATATATATATATATATATATATATATATATATATATATATATATATATATATATATATATATATATATATATATATATATATATATACATATATTTATTTATTTATATAAATAGATATAGTGTGATAGCATATTACAAAGTGTTAATATTAAAATTAAACTTTAAACGTGGTAGCTCCACAACATCATTGATCTTAGTCAATGTTAATATAACATAAAAAAATGTACAACTTTCAGACGTGCACGAGTAAAACCAAATACGAAATTTTATTCTTGCATAATTATATGCTTCGAATATAGCATACATTCCCAAAAAACATACACCTAAATTTCCCCGAACAAACTATCTTGTCTTATAACATATATTTTCGCATGCAATGAACTTTTCGTATTTTTTTCAGTGCCTAATCTACATGGTCTGTCAAGTTATTGGTGCCATTGCTGGCGCGTCTGTTATATTGCTGACCGTCCCAAACGCATGGAGAGGGACAATAGGAGCTACAGTTCTAGCCGAGGGGGTTGAAAATTGGCAGGTACAATTTAGCGAAACAAGTATCAAATATAGTTTTAAAATAGTTTTGAAATATGGTTGACGTTTAAATCAGATTTATTGTAATCGAATTATTTTTCTTCTGTGCTTTTACAGGAGATTTGAAAATAGATATAATGTACTTCCACCCGAATGAGGTTTTTTTTACCGGAGGCAGTATTGATTAAAGAAATTAGAACATAAACTCTTAACTCTTCTATTTATTGTTTCATGGGGGTTGGCTACATTTTCGTCAACCTTCTAGCGTTTCAACTTAATTTTCATTTTATCATATCAGTTTAATTTTTTATAATTATTTTTCTCTAAAGGGCTTTGTAGTTGAGACTATCAGTACTTTTCTACTGACGACCATCATCTTCGCTAGCAGTGATGAACATAGAACAGACCATAAGGGATCCAAAGCACTGAGCATTGGCTTTTGTCTGACAGCAAATATTGCCTGGACGGTGCGTCTTATGTTGCTTGTTCTTCTTTAGATTGCTCGAATCATTAGTGCATAGCTTTGGAAAGTTTTTTACTTGTATTTTATATTACCTAAGAGTGGTCCGCTAGAGCGCCATCCAGAGGCGTAGCGACCCTTCCCGGCGCCCGGGGATAAACTTTCAATTTGGCGCCACCCCTCGGGAACAAACATTTAATTTGCACCCCCTCCCACATATATTTTTATATTATAATGCAAAAACGCAGCTAAAATTGGATTTTAATTTGTTTTTTTACAACCCATTTTGGCGCCCCCCTACGGTCGGCGCCCGGGGACATAAGTACAGTACCCCCCCCTCCCCCACTCCAGACCCGCCCCACCCCCCCCCTCGCTACCCCTCTGGCGCCATCGTTTCTTCCCCTTATAATAGAGATCTAATATGGTGTGTAGCTTAAGCTAGTAATGTTTTTTTTAAGTATTTATTTAATAAGTTGCTAACCCGAATATCTTAAGTTCTGATTTTAAACTCAAGTCGCTGATGCTATTTAACTCATAAGAGTTAGGTTGCATAAGAGTACCTGACTCCGGTTTTGAAAAGTAAGACGACTGGGGCATGGTGCTGATCACTATATTTATTTTCGTATGCCGACCTCAAAGAAACATTAACTCCACTCAGAGGCGTAGGGAGGTGGGGGGGGGGGCGGGCAGGGGGTACATATGTCCCCGGGCGCCGACCTTAGGGGGCGCCAAAATGGTTTGTAAAAACAAATTAAAATTAAAATGCCATTTTAGCTGCATTTTGCATTATAAATAGCTTGAGGGGGTGCAAATCGAAAGTTTGGTGGGGGGTACAAATTAAAAATTTGCTCCCGAGAGGGGCGCCAAATTAAGAGTTTGTCCCCGGGCGCCGGGAAGGGTCGCTACGCCTCTGACTGCACTTCATCTACCCCATGCACTGCCAAGTTCAAAAGGCTAACGCAATTATTTTTTTTTAACAGGGCACCGTTACTGGAGGAAGTTTGAACCCTGCCAGATCTTTTGGGCCGGCAGTGCTGACTGGAATCTGGGATGACCACTGGGTCAGTTTGTGATATAGCTTTGTAACTACTCACTATAGTAAGGATCGTGCGCATAATACTATACTTTGGGGTATGGAGGGGTTATCCGTTTTATTATAATGCGTTGTATGATAGTATAGTGAAATGCTTTGTGACGCTACTTGTGATTTACTTTGTTCTTGTTTTTTTTTTTTTTTTAATGCCAACGATTTAGATGGATGAATAGGTTGATAATTGGTTTACACATTTCTTTCTTTTACTTTTATTATTCTACTAGGCATGCTGCCCAGCTTCGCTTAGGCTTTCGAAAACATTGAGAATTTGAATGCTTAATTAATTCGCCCGAAGGTCGGTCTACGACCTCAAGAGTTATGAAGAGGTTCCTCCGTGGACATTTTTTTTCGATTTATAGCTCATATAAGGTACCGGTCAGTCGAGGTCAGTTTTGACCCCCACATCGTAGACTTTTCGGCCAACCGGCCCCCGTGTTCTGTCGCACCAAGGCAAGATCATGCCAAATTTGAAGCGCCTGCGGCGCCGGGAAGTGCCCTATCGGACACCCGACAATCTAGATCTAGATCTAGATTCCTAAAAGAATTTTTTTTTTTAAGTTTAGCCCGAGCATAATAAAAAAGAATACATTAACCAAGTTGACTTGCTGTGTCTCGAACCCGCACCACCTGCGTGGTTTAATGTACACTAACATCTCCGCTATTTAGGCACCTTATAAAATACGGAGAATGAAACACGTATTTTAAAATCTTAACTTACGCGAATATGCCTATTCTTTCAAATTAATTTTTTATCCCAAATTAGCCAGTTCCAAACAAAGATTTTGTATAAAATAAATAAGTCTTGAAATAGTTTAGTCCTAATATAGAAATTTATTTTTGGAATTGATTTTAGAGAAGTTAGAGTCTAAATCTAGATCTTAGCGTCTACGTCTAGATCTAGTTATTGCGTAGATTTAGATTTAGTCTAGATCTAGAATCTCTAGATCTAGAATCCAAATACATAAAATAAATTTTATGAGTTTAGGCCGGAAAAATTGTATTGTATACATTTCATAGTGTACGTAGATCTAAATCAAATTTGAATGAAATAGTTCATTTCTTTTCATTCTTAACACGGCAGATGACGTCATTAGTTAATGTATAAGCAATAGTGACGTCACAGTTTTATGCGTTCTTTTTCACATATATTAATGCTTTTCCGGTTGCATAAATAATACTGTTTCTCTACATTCGAATACGCCTTTAATTTTTATTTTTCTTCTTTAAGTAAAATTGTGGTTATACATTTAAAACATCTAACATATTATTTTCAACAAAAGTCCGTAAAAAATTCTCGATATATCGCTGCCGATTCTGACGTGATGTCCGGCGAAAATTTTTTGCGGACAGAGAAAGAGAGAGAGAGAGAGAGAGATGTGCGCACATTGGGCTTTTATAAATTAGGATGAAACTTTACTGTAAGAACTAATTATCTCCCTGTAATTTCTACAATAGTACTTGTATGATTTTATATTCCTTTGGAAATTATATGAGTGTCTTAGAAATTTTATTTAAAAAGGGCGCGTGCGATGTTGTAATGTAACTTTATACCGGATCCTAACATATCCATCCCAAAACCCAGAAGAGTAGTTGGGGTAACTAATTCAGTGCAGTTCCCTGCTTATTCAGTACAGTCAGCGTTTGGTTTATTTGTCAAGACATTTGTCTTCTCAGCGCTGATTTTGATCCCATATGTTGCCGACGTTCGGTCCAATTGGTTTGCTAAATCTATCAACCCGCCTTCACTGCCTACTATGTATGGTAAGGGGCGGAGCTTATTAATAATCCGTCTGCCGGTGCTGACAGCCGACATGGTCTTTCATGGCGTTGATCATAATACTTCCCAGGTAGACATTGACAAGAAAAAAATAGCAGGCACACCTGTCGTCCTCAGTGTTTCTTCCAGACTTTTTTCTCCGGGGGGGGGCACTTGGAATTTTCGGGGGGGGGGGGGGGGGGGGTAGACCTTCTTCGGGGGGGGGGGGGGGGGCGGACACTGTTAAAAGTATATATTTTCTATATAAATTATATTAATTTCATTTCGTTGGGGGGGGGCGGTAAAAAAATTTCGGGGGGCTTTGCCCCCCCCCCCCCCCCCGAAGAGGTGCCTGAAAGAAACTCTGGTCGTCCTGCATCCGTTCTTCTAAATCATTTCGTGTAGCTTTGTTGAAAAATGCGCTTGTTGCTCTCTCGTACACATTTCTGATACTTCTATAAGGATTGTGCTAATGTTGTAGGGTTATTCGTATAAATAATGATGGGTAAAATATTTTGTTTACATATGTGCACGATCCGTTAGTTTTTCATTACAGTAGCGATAAGGACGATGTTGTCGGATGGTAGAGATTTTTACTCCTAGCCGTAAAGTCTCGAGTTCGGATACCCGGCTGGAGTCTGTATGACGTGCCTAAGTTCACCCAACTCTGGTGGGTACCTGACTACGTTAAGGAAACCAAGGCGACTGGGCATAGTGCTGACCGCACTGTCCCTCATTATGCAGAGGTCATTGAATGAAACATATGAACTCAACTTCATATGTCTCGTGCGTCTTGGGCACGAACATGAAAAGATGCTGATGAAAGTTTATACAGAGAACATAACAGTAGAATTTACCAAAAAAGAATGTATTCATAAATTGTCCTTTGATTTAAATCCTGTAATTCCTATTAACTCTTTTGGAGCACAGGGACTCAACACATCTCTCCATCGTACTCTGTTCTGGGCTATTCAACCAAGTTGGGCCCACGACATTCCAGCTGCTTCTGCTTCACTGAAACGTTTGCTTACCTATTTTCCTCTTTCCTTAGGGATTCCATCCAGAGCAGAGTTTCTTCATGGCAGGTCTTCGGGGTGGGGAGGGGGCTAAGCCCCCCTCCCAGAAGAAAGTCTACCACCCCCCCCCCCCCCCCCCCCCCGAACGAAATTTAATTTATATAGAAAATATAGACTTTTAACAGTGTACGCCCCAGCCCCCCCCCCCCCCCCGGAAAATTTCAAGTCCCCCCCCCCCCCCCCGGAGAAAAAAGTCTGGAAGAAACACTGATCCAGAGCCTGTTTCTAGTTGGTTTACGCATAGTGTGTCCTATCCATCCCTATTTGCGCTTTTGTATTTCTTAAGATTCTTCATGAACATTCCTGTTTAAAACATTCTCAGATTTACTGGACAGCCCCACCCCTTGGAGGCATCATCGCTGCCATCACTTACAAATTCATCTTCGCTGAAAAAGCCCCGGAAGTAAACGAGGACAAGCTGCGCGCAGGATGCTGCGCACGAGGAAGCTTCAGTGACTGCGGCCTCATGTTGGATGGGTCTATGAGCAGGAAAAGTTCCGTGACGTTTTCCAGCAACCGGCTGGGAAACTGGCGTAGACACAGCATGTCTAGACTTGACAGCATCAAGAGCGACACGACGCTGATATCTGGGCTGGAGAGTGTCTATGTACAGAATGATGGGTGCAACTTGCTGATGAATAATTGTGTTTCTCACACGCCAAATGTTGCGCTTGGTCAACAGGGGGGTAAAGTAGGCGACACAAATTTATAAAAAAGGATATTTTGTTTTAAAATCACAGAAAAACAAAAGACGACAGTTTAAAATGTATACTTAATTATTAGAAATGCTTCTTAACCTCAGAAATCCTGCACATATGTTTGGAAACCTTGGAAATCCAACTAAAATATGTTTCCCATGTTATAAAGTACGGGCTTTAATAATATTATATATTTCTTTTAATAGCTCTTTTTATGTTGACTCTGAATCTAATACATTGCTTCGACCTCGGGTAGGAGGGGGGCGGAGAGAGAATTATGATATTCTAATTCTTTATCTGGGCATCAAGTACAAGGCGGGGGGGGGGGGGGAGTGGGTTAGTTCTGCTTCTTGATTCAATGCGTCTTTGATTTTTATTTATTTCGCTTTTAATTTTATATTCCAATCATACAAAATATTTATCATGCATACAAAAGAGCTTTACTTTATGTTTTTTTTTTAATTGTTTTTTTTTTTCAAGATTTAAATGGAACACTATGTTTCTGTTCAGCCTAATTGAACAACGTTTAAATGTCTAATTCTGCAGTCATTAACCGACCCCCGCTGTGTCAAATGAATATTGAAAGTAAACTTAGTTTTGAGGATCAGGTCTCAGCCTTTCGTTTCAATAGTTTTACAAATGTAATGAACATATGACTACAACAACAGTTTTACAAAATATAGAACCATTAGCACTGTTCCAAACAATCAAAATATTCCAAGCTACTACATTATTTATTTGCAGAGAGCTTTAATTACATAGGTAACAGTAACGGACTTCAAGAGCCATGAACCCACCTGAATATTTTGTTAAAAAAAAGAAAGCCTTGTTTTATTGTATTTGGTCGAACTCTTATCAAACCTCATAATGGCAGTTTTATTTCAAAATAATTTGTAAATGTTTCCTCATTAGGGCGTGATAATATTTTTAAAAAGCTTCTGACATCTTTAAATTTTTTGTCTATGCTGTGAAATTGTTTAACTTTAAGGCCAGATGGTTTGCATTGGAAAATGAAGGTATATGTATCTATTTAAATAGATTTAAACTCAGATCTCATTAATTAAATTTTAAATTTACTATGGTTTGATAAGCCGCTTATTGTTGAGCTACTTAAAAGCATTTTAAAATGTATATTTTTTAAACAATGTTTGTTTGTATAGTATGTAAAGTATGATTGTTTTTTTTAAATAGCCTATATATGCTTGCCATTTAACCTTGGTTTTAAAGTAGAAGTAAAGTATGACCAGTGTATTTATTGTTTTTAATCAAGAAACTTATCTTTACTGATAACTTAGATATTGCCTTGGACATTAAAAAGAATTTTCACTAACCAATAATTCTTGGATATTAATACCCTCTTTTACACCATTTTTATTCTGCACATTTTAATAAACTTACCAGTACTGAGTTGTTGTTGTTGTTGTTGTTTTATTAACTACATATTGCAAATAAGTTGGAAAGTTGGGTACGACTTTTGAATTATAATTCTCACCAGACACCCAAAGAAACCGAAAGAATAATTCTCTACAACGAACAAAAATATTATTTTTCAAGGTTGTAGAAAAATAAAGTCACGCCAATACAACTTCCATCTGTTTCACATCCGACATCCAGTGTTTCTTTTTTTTTTTTGGAGGGGGGGGGGTGGCAACTGAGAATTCTCCTCCCAAAGAAATGCTTGAAAGGAACTCTGTTCACACCCCGTACCCAACCTCTCAATCCACATTGATCTACATGCACACAGTAATCAGAGTTCTAATGAAAATTCACCCGCGTTTCATTTTGTTTTATATTACTATTATTACAGAGAGTAATATGCATAACATTTTTCTCAGCGTATACTTAGGGGTCATCCATAAATGACGTTACGCTTTTTCAACGATTTTTACCTCCCCCACCTCCCCATCGTCACAAAAAGCCAGCCCCCCCCCCCCCAAAAATGACGTCACACCTCAGCCTACAACCCCCCTCAAAATTGCAGTTGAATTTTTTTTTAAAACATCGATATTTTTCCAAAATCTTGTCGGAACTCTGTCAAAATAGAGTATTTTAATCAATACATATTTTATTAAAACAGTTTTTTCTAAAACGCGAAATAACGTCTAAAATTCGTTTTCTAACAATGAAAAAGTGTGACGTCGCACCATCTGGACCCCCCCCCTCCCCTCATCACACACCGTCACAAAATTACTGACCCCCTCCTCCTTAAGAGTGTGAAGTCATTTGTGGACGACCCCTTACATAACCGTATGCTTTTTAAAAATTAAATCCCACGAACATCTGAAGTTTACCTGGAGAGAGAAAAAAAACTGGTACTAGAATAGTGTGAGATTATGAGAGCATCGTGATTCCCTAGAAACCTCTTTCGGTTGGGGGCAGAGTTTCTTCAGGGCGAGGGGGTATGCCCCAGTGTGCCCCCCCCCCCCCGAAAGTTTCAAGTTAACCCCCCCCCCCCCCCACGGCCCAGTTAAAGTAAATGATGTTCTATATATATATATATATATATATATATATATATATATATATATATATATATATAGGCATATATATATATAGGCCTATATATATATATATATATATATATATATATATATATATATATATATAGGCCTATATTTCGTTTTTTTTTCTCTTTCGCCCAAATGTCTCCCATCCACCCCCTCCACGAAGAGATGCCTCAAAGAAACTCAGATCACTTGGCGTCAGTTGGTATGCTTTCAAAAATTCCTGTAAGTATTGTAGTCAATAATATTCAGCTAAAATAACATAGATCTAGATCAATACTAGATTTATAGCCTATAGATCTAGCTCTAATGGCATTGCAAGCAAATAAATACATGTTTCGGGAAACATAAAGGAAGTCTAGGTGTCGCAAACACTAATTCGGTGTTTCTTCCAGACTTGTTTCTCCGGAAGGGGGGGGGGGGGGCACTTGATATTTTCGGGGGGGGGGGCGGTCCACATTTTTCTGGGGGGGGGGAGGGGGGGGAGGGGGCGGTAGACTTACTTCGGGGGGCAGAGCCTCCCCCCCCCCCTCCCCGAACAGATGCTTGGAAGAAACTCCACTCATTCACCAACAATGTCAATGTTATGTATTTCTTAGAAAATTAAATAGAATTCAGTGAAATGTTGTAATAGATTGAAATAATTGTGAGGTCAAGGGAACTCACTCTTCTGTATTAGTTATATTTATAATATTGTTATCTTGAGTGATGTCCCTTGAGTACTTCCTTCCGTCCTCTCTGGTGTTACCATCATGAAGTAGTTAGACCCATTAAACGTGTTATAAACAACCACAGGCTTCTGTCGTCAATCTATTATAACTGGCGACGAAGGATAAACATCTACTAGAAAGAGCACCTACTTACGCAAAAAAGAGGTTTGCTAGAGCTTATTAGCTAATTATTTCTAGAATTATGGCGCTGTATGGCCAAATAAAAGAATTTGATGCGAATGATGAAATCATTCAAGATTACCTAGAGAGGTTAAGCTTTTACCTAGAAGCTAACGACGTGACGATAGAAGCCAAAAAGAGAGCTATTTTGTTAACAGTCATAGGGCCTCAACAATTTAGGCTACTAAAAGACTTATGCGCACCAGCTAGTCTAACTACCAAGAGCTTTAACGAGCTGAGCAAATTGCTAACAGACCACCATGCGCCTACCCCATCAAAGTTTTTATGTAGAGCTAGATTTGACAGTAGGACTCGTCAACCAAACGAGTCAATATCAGAATATGTTGCTGCTTTACGTCATTTAAGTAGATTTTGTGAATTCGGCGACACGCTGTCTGATAGACTATGTGAAAAGTTTGTGACAGGTGTAAACAGCCCTGATATTCAAAGAAAGTTGCTGCTCGAGTCAGATCTAAAATTGGAAAAAGCAATACAACTTGCAATGTCAATCCAGCAGTCATCAGATGCGGCGAAATCTCTAACGCCTTCAGGGATCCATGCAGTAAACAGCAGGTTAGTCAATAAACATCAACCCCAACAGAGCATTCCAACTTATGCTAAACAGCCTGCTCGTTCAAATCCTAGATCTAAATCTAGTAATAATTATCAAAAATGTCATCGATGCAAAGGTCCCCATGCATCTCATCAGTGCAAGTTCAAGTCTGCATCTTGTTATAAGTGCAGTGAGCAAGGTCACATTGCTAAGGCCTGCTTTGCAAAGTCTTCGTCTGTTGCTAAATCTAGCCAGTCAAGACAGTACCGCAACCAAAGGCAGCACTATGTTAACTCTCACCAAGACTACCTAACCCAACCAATGAACCACTCTACCTGTGAAAATGCTCAAATTGATTTGCAGCCGGATTTCAACCTGTTCTCTGTTAAATCAATAAGTCATGCTCCCATCAATGTACAAGTTAATATCAACGGTAAGAGCATCAGCTTCCAACTTGACACTGGAGCATCTCTAACAGTCATAACAAAGAAAGAGTTTGACGCTGTCACAGGAGGATCAGTGTCTCTACAGCCATGTCACAAGTGTCTAACAACATACACGGGTGACAATGTTCCGGTAATAGGAGAGTGTATGGTTCATGTAAGTTATAATGGTCAAAGTGTTAAACTTCCTCTTCTTGTGGTTGAAGGAAATGGACCGCCATTGCTAGGTAGGAACTGGTTAAGTGATCTTAAGTTAAATTGGGAGAGTATTTGTTCATTGAAGAATGTAAAAGAATCTAGTCTTACTTCACTAGATAAAGTTATATCTGAAAATAAATGTGTTTTTGGTAATCATGGATTACTAAATGATAGAACAGTGAAGTTAAGCATTAAAGACACAAATCCAAGATACTGCAAAGCTAGAGTTCCACCTTATGCAATGAGGAACAAAATTGAAAATGAGCTAAGTAGATTGGAATCTAATGGCATCATAAAGAAGGTAGACTATTCCGATTGGGCGTCACCCATTGTGCCAGTGTTAAAGAAGGATGGTTCTATAAGAATTTGTGGAGATTATAAAACTACACTGAATAAGCAAATAGAGCTAAATAGGTACCCTATACCTAACATTGAGGAAATTTCTTTGAATTTGGCAGGAGGAGACAAATTCACTGAATTAGACTTTAGTCATGCTTACACTCAACTAGAACTGCATCCAGATTCAAAAGTCTATACGACAATAAACACACATAAAGGACTCTACCAATATGAAAGACTATGTTTTGGCATATCATCCAGCCCTGGAATTTTCCAAGCTGTCATGGACAGTATTTTTAAGGACATTCCAAATGTTTGTGTGTACTTTGACAATGTGTACATAACTGGTAAGAATGACACTGAACATCTCAAAACACTTGATAAAGTATTGAAAATTGTTGGTGAAAAAGGTTTAAAGATAAACAAAGATAAATGTCAATTCATGCTGACAGAAATTAGTTTTCTTGGTTATATATTAAGCAAGCAAGGTATCAGACCTCAACCTGAGAAAACAAAAGCCATTAAAGAAGCACCCAAACCTGAAAATACCCAACAACTAAGAGCTTTTTTGGGCTTGATAAATTACTATGCAAAGTTCATAGGGAATCTGTCTGGTAAACTATCACCACTGTACAAGCTGCTACAGAAAAATGCAACTTGGCACTGGGGTAAACAACAAGAAGCTGCTTTTAATACAGCAAAAGAGGCTTTGTCTGCTGACACCTTACTAACTCACTATGACCCAGGAAAAAGACTTATATTAACATGTGATGCTTCACCAGATGGTGTAGGAGCAGTCTTGTCCCACATGGATGAGAAGGGTGACAGACCCATTGCTTTTGCCAGTAGATCTTTGAACCAGGCTGAGAAAAATTATTCTCAGTTAGATAGGGAAGGCTTAGGCATCATTTTTGGTGTTAAGAAATTTCATAAGTTTCTGTTTGGTAGGAAGTTCACCATCTTTACAGATCATAAACCATTGCTAGGTTTATTTGGAGAAAACAAAACCCTACCTGAGCATGCCTCACCAAGAATTCAAAGATGGGCTATCACACTAACTGCATACAATTATGAATTGAAATACAAACCTGGATCTGAGAATAGTGCAGATAGTCTTAGTAGATTACCTTTAAAAAACCAAAGCCTGAGCTATGTACCAGAAGATGTATTTGTTCTCTTCACTATCATGGATAACTCCAATATAAATGTGAATGATATTAAAAGAGAAACACAAAAAGATGAGTGCTTAATAAAAGTATATGAGTACTGTAAGAATGGTTGGCCTGAAGAGTCAGTGAATGAGGACTTAAAGCCATATAAAATAAGAAAAACAGAGTTAAGTCTAGAAGATGGATGTATACTATGGGGGTCAAGAGTAATTATCCCCAAAATGTTACAAAAAGAAGTTTTAAGAACTTTACATGATACTCATCTTGGTTCTTCCAAAATGAAGAGTCTAGCAAGATCATGGTTCTGGTGGCCACATATGGATGCTGATATTGAAAAATATGTAAAACTTTGTTCAAGCTGTGCACAACATTCAAATCAACCAGCTACAGCACCTTTGCAAAACTGGGACTGGCCAATCGAACCATGGAAACGTATACATATAGATTTCGCAGGACCTTTCATGAACAAAATGTTCTTAATTGTTATTGATTCACATTCTAAATGGTTAGAAGTTAAAATCATGAACACAATCACTGCAAATGATACCATTATAGAACTTAAGGAAATATTTTCAACTCATGGATTACCAGATCAAATTGTTTCAGATAATGGGCCTAGTTTCACAGCTCATGAGTTTAAACTGTTTTGTGTGGCAAATGGTATTGAGCATATAACCACATCCCCCTATCATCCTGCTGGGAATGGTTTAGCTGAAAGAGCGGTAGGCATATTCAAAACCGCTATGGTAAAAATGAATACCGGTAACAAGTTTTCTCTTAGAGAAAGAGTAAACAGGTTCTTAACCAAATACCGCACAACTCCTCATATAACAACACGTGTTGCACCATGTGAATTGCTATGTGGTAGGAAAATTAAAACTCATCTTGACCTACTACATCCAACTGTTCAAAGGTCTGTTTCCCAACATCAACATACACAAAAAGTAAATCATGACAAATCATCCATTGAAAGAGAATTTGCAGTTAATGACAATGTGTATCTAAGAAATTATGGGAGAAAGGAAAAATGGATACCAGGTCAAATTGTTCAATGTACAGGACCTGTGTCTTATAAAGTAAAAACAAATGATGGACTTATTGTCCGTAGACATGCAGACCAGTTGAAAATAACTTGTGCAGATAATAAGTGTGAATCTGTCAATCCCACCAAGTCTGATCAGTTCACACCAACTCAGTTTGTTCCACAACCAAGTTCTGTTGATATGAGTGAACCAAGTTGTCTGGAGTCAGAAAATGTAAATTCTGGAGTTAATGATTTAAATCCTAGACCTCCTGAGATAGAGAATCCAGATGGTCAGAATATTGAGTCACCAAATCAAAAGCCACTGAGAAGGTCAAGCAGGACAATCAAGGTCCCAAATAAGTTAGACCTATGATTCTAAAGGTCAAAAGGACTTTGACATTATTGTTTTGTATTTTGATTATGTTGTAGCATATTGTGCATTGTTTGTAAGGATGTAATCTACCATAGTGTTCATGTTACAATATAATTGGTGATTTTAGGATACTATCAATTGTTCTATTGAGAGATGTGTTATTGTGTTCTAAGGGTAAAGGGATGTAATAGATTGAAATAATTGTGAGGTCAAGGGAACTCACTCTTCTGTATTAGTTATATTTATAATATTGTTATCTTGAGTGATGTCCCTTGAGTACTTCCTTCCGTCCTCTCTGGTGTTACCATCATGAAGTAGTTAGACCCATTAAACGTGTTATAAACAACCACAGGCTTCTGTCGTCAATCTATTATAAATGTAATAATCTAGATCTCTATATTTAACAATTTCCGTTACCTATCAAAACTGGATTATAGGCCTTGATTAGCTGTTGAACGAAACGAAAGCTAAACTTCAACTGAGGTCTCAGATTGTCTTAGAATGGCTGTAGAACTGCAGACTTTAAGTTTTAGACTTAGATCTAGATTTAGATCTAGAGCTTTTAGCGCTACTCATATATTCTAGATCTAGCCTAGATCTAGAAATACTAGACTCTAAAATCTAGATTTATATTTTAAATAGATCTCTAGAATGTAGAAGATAGCCCTCTCCAGATTTAACTCTTCTACGAAGTTCTACAACTATTCTACAGTCTAGAATTCTAGATCTAATCTAGATCTAGATCTAGATTAGATCTCTAGCTAGACTCTAGACTACACGTACACCAGTACTGAGTACTAAAACTTCCTACTGATCTAGAATCTACACTACAGATATCATTATCTAGATCTAGAAGAATCTAGAGACTCTTATCTTAGTAGTCTTAGCCACTCTTAGTAAGACCTTAGCCTTTCATTGCAATGCAATAGTTTTACAAAATATCTAGTCTAGATTAGATCTAGAAATCTAGATCTATTACTTATTACTACAACAACAGTTTTACCAAATATTATTTTGAAAATAAATTTGAAAATCTAGATCTAGAATTATTTAATTTAATTACACATTAGCATCGTTGCAAACAATCTAATCTAATCTATCTAGATATTCTAGATCTAGTTTTCTATCTAGATTCTAAATCTAGATCTATCTGTATCTACTATAATCTAGATCTATACATCTATGTATGTATATCTCTTACTAGCCTAGAATCAAGATCTAGATTTACTATTATCTAGTTCTAGATCTAGCTAGATCTAGGGCGTAATAATTTTAATTATCAATAATTCATTGCTTTGCTACAATTAAATTAATAATAATGCTTTATTACTAGATCTAGGTCTCTACTCTAAAAAATGTGCAATAGAACTATTGAATAAAATAATGATTGGGCCATCATTTTGCATGTACTTTTTGAAGGCTAGAATAAGAATGACACTAAACATAAAACAACAGTGCTTTTGAAGTTCATGTGTATAATTAATTTAATAAAATTAGATATTTAAAAGAATTAAGGGATAGAGTGTAACAGAAGGGGAAATTTTTAAAATCCCACTCCAATTTGCATGTCACAATGAACCACAAACCAAACACCACACCAACCATCTTGCACCCCCAACACAACACATCCCATTACTCCGCATAGCACAACCCAAAGCTCACCTCACTAACCCTATTATCCACACCCAATCACTCACCCCACACCATACACATGATTCACCATACCACACACATACAAAACACAACACACAGAGTGGATCAAAACCCACACTACCTTGCCCCACACCTTAACCCACGGGCCACATCACCTCACACCGCACAACACCATGAACACCTTGAAGCAAACCCCAACCAAACTGCACTTCACAAGTTACCACATGATTCAAACACCACCTAAAAACTTTAACAGCAAAAACACTTCACCCTACAATATACATTAAAATTCACACCTAACCCAACTCATCTCATGATCCACACTCAATCACTTATTCAAAAAGTCCAGCCTTAATGTTGCAGGCAACAATAAAAAATAAGGTTTATTTTAAAGATAATGTATTGACAATTCAAAAACGCTTTTTTTTGTTCTTTACAGAAATACATCACTTTATCAGACCTAGTTCTGCTTCTTACCAATCTGTATATTAATTATATGCAGAGGTCACATTCATAAACAGATGAACTCTACTTCATTTGTCTTATTGGCAGCCAGGTCCAAAAGGGTAACTACATTATTAACCTTCTAAATTATTTAAATGGTGAAGCTGTTTTGTTAATTTCCATTCCTACCCAAGTGCTGCTCATCTGTGGTTATGGTCATGGAATTGTTATTGATACACCATTTCAAATTGGATCTTATTATCAAAGTTCATCTTACTAAGAGTGTTCTTCTTCTTGGTTCTTAATTTTTAGTGTTGGAAGAGATCGAGCCTTATCTGCCAGAGGGTTTGAACTCGAGACTTTTTTTCGAATTTATCAACCATGACCTTTTGCCGACTCGACCACGCCTCCATACTAATTAAGGATACATGTCAACTGGTTATGCGCCATTGAGGCCATTGACTCCGATTTCAGCCTGCTTTTCTTTTTGGATTTGCTTCCATAGCCTTTGTCCAACCAAGAACAAACTACAAGGCAGCAGTTGTTTGATTTTGGAGTTGTCTCTCCTAGAAGAGTGGCTGTCCCCAGCTAACGAGCCTCATCTGCCAGTGGGTTCGAACTCGAGATTTTTCAGTTTAGCAACCATGAGCTTTACCTACTCAACCACCCTGACCCCCTACTAAGAGTGTTGATTAGTTATTATTTTTTGTGATTTAGAGGAATTTTTTAAAGTAATTTTAGAAGCAAAATTTTTACTCCATTTTATTCTATAGCAGACATAGCAAGCTTTCTTCATGAAGCACTGTGGGCCCTCAGAGAACTCAATGGAGACCAGGGGCAACATAAACTTCACAAGTAAAGCAGATATTTATCGCTCGGATAAAACTTTTTCCAATAAGCATCTCAATGTAAAGATAGAGCCCCTGGATACAAGTTTGGATGTTCAAAAATCTACTGAACTTGTTCAAATCCTGAAAGATGGCATTGTAGCAGAGTCTATAAATGGTGTGAGTCATGGCAGTTTACCACAGCAGTGCCCAAATGTTGCATTCCTACAAGAGGTTAACTGCTTGTCACTTGATCCAAATTGCCAAGTAACGGTTGAGTCCTCTGATATTAACCAGGTTAAGCTTGAGATCTGTGAGCCTGTTGATGAGTATAAAGAAAAGAGAGATGTGTTTCAGACTTTCCGCTGTTGCCTTTGTAACAATGCTAAATTAACAGACGAAAAGGAACTGCAAGAGCACATGCAGAGTCATGTTAAATACTGCCAAGGGAAACTATTTTGTGGACTTTGTAAATACACTACAAAGAAAGATAACAGCTTTAAAAATCACGTTTTGAAGCATCACTGTTCAAAAAATTCTACAAATAAACGATGGACTTGCAAAGCTTGTTCCTACAATTGCTTAAAAAAATCAGCTATAATTAGTCACTTGTGTATTCTGCACATGGAGTTGGCAAAGTTTGAATGCAAGTATTGCCCTTATAAAACAGACAGCTCCTCAAGGTTTCGGGACCATAACTTTGTACATATTAATGAGAGACCTTTCAGGTGCCCTCATTGCCCATACACTTGCAGGCAAAACTCCCGCTTAAAAATTCATGTGCAGCGTAGACACCAGCCGTGCCTGATATGTCAGGCTAGCTCAGATCCTAACAATGTTAATATAGGGCAGGCATTAATCAATGTCCCTGGCTCTAAACTTTGTTCAAAACATAGGAAAGAAATAAATTCAAAGAAAAGGTCACGTCTTTTAGATGAAGAAGTAAATGCCAACCCTACACATCTTAAACAATTTGACTCTAGAGACAGGATTTTTAAATGTCATTTATGTGATAGAGCATTCTTTAATAAATCCAAGTTACTGAGGCATCTACTAATACATCAGGACAATAAAAATTATCATTGTGATCAGTGTGATTATGCTACATATCGCATGGATACTTTGAGAAATCACAAGATAACACACACTCAGCAAAGGTCTTACTGGTGTGTTATATGCAGTAGAACTTTCAAAACTATTAAGTATCTTAGATGGCACATCATTATGCATGCTAAAAGAGACAGATACCTCTGCCCTCTATGCCCTTACGCCAGTCAAACAAATTCTCTCCTCAAATTCCATCTTCAATATCACACAGAGGACATGAGTTCCACAACCAAAGAAAAATTAAAACAAAATCCATTTCCCTCCTCTGAGGCTTACAAAAAAATGGTGAGTGATAATCCTTTCAAGGATGAAATTTACAAACGGATAAAAAAATGTGTTGGGGAAATATTCACATGTGTGACCTGTAGCTTTACTAGCCCAGAGAAGCGGATATATAAGGCGCACCTTCAGATCCATAGGGAGAAAAGTTACCTTTGTAATGTTTGCGCTTTTCGCTGCAACCGCAAATATAATCTAACCCTACACATTTTAACCCACTACAAAGATCGCCCTTATGTATGTCACCTTTGCCCATTTTCCTCTAAGTCCCCATCAAATCTTAAAAAGCATAAAAAAAATTACCACAGTCTATTGTAATGTGCATTTTTCTTAATTTCTATGAATGCTTGTTAAGTTTTCTGTTAATTTAAACTTCTACCAATCTCTTCTTATTAATCTTTTGGCTTTTTATGCTTTAAGTTATTGTTAAAATTTTAATCATTAATCTGTATTGATTAACAAGACTGAGATATTATTGTTGTGACCTATCATATTTGTGATACTTTTACCTGTGCATAAAAAAACTACTCTAAATGATTATTTTTTCCTGAAATATTAGTTTTTTAAATAGTTTGTATTGTTTAAGTAACTAGGAGTTAAATAGTTTATTAAAATTTAAAATTAACTTGAATGGTGGTTTTACATAATTGAAGTTTGTTATGAACAATGTAAATACAAATCCATATATAATGAATTTAAATCCGGTGCTGCGATTTGTTGTATGAATAAAATCTGTGTTATTTGCTTTTATTTCTGGATGCAATATTCTATAAACTTGTGTTACACATTTTTAAACTTTTTTTTTTTTGCTTTGTTGTTCAACAAAAATATGATTAGTTCAACCATGTTTTCTAACTTTGCATTTAAAATTTTTTTAAACTGTTAAACCTTCCTTCTATTGTGATCCTATGCTTGCATTTTTTGCCAGTTTTTTGTACATGAGTTGGGTTATAGGCCTAGATCTATATCTCAAGTACTTGCACTTGTAGGTTATAGGAAAGCAGCTTATTTTGTCCCTACTGCTTTTAAGTTAGAGATTTTAATTTTGTTTTTAAGTCTATATTATTTTTATTGTAACACTCACTCAGTGGGGATGCTTTTTACCCACTGAGGTGTTGTGGTTAAAAGGGCTGACCCTGAGATTTAGGACACACTGAAAATTTGTTAGTACAAAGGAATGTTTAACTTCCCATGAGCTTAACATTTTGGTAGAACTCCTGAGCAATTTTATGTAATTCTCATCTTTTCTTCTGCCCCAAAATATCCAGTGTAGTAGAGTAATAAACTAAAAGTAATTAGTGCACTAAAAACACTAATTATCATATCAGTATTGTTTAAACATTAGTTAATCAAAATTAATTTATGGGGATTTTTGTGCTTTGAAATTACCGCCATAAATCATACAGAAACAAAGTGGGATTTTTTTTCTTCCTCTGCTGATATCTGTAGCATGACAACCTGAAAAATTATTAAAAAAAATTCTAGAGCCACAGTAACTTTGATGTAATGTATAATTTACATGTGTATTTAGACATGTTCTTGACTCTAATTACCCTAGTGAAGAGAAGAAAATATTAATTTAATTATTTAAATAGGGCCTATATGTGATAATTTTAATTTATAATTAATAAATATTCATTTTTAAAGTTATGAAATTCTTTTGTTATATTTTAATTCAAATAAATTATTTTAATGTACAACTAATAATTTATTAAAATGTTGGTTAAATATAATTATAATTAAAGTACCCTTTCAAGCCTGATGGTCCATGGGGCAGGTGAAGTAAATTTCACCTATTTCAGTGACCTCGACATATGAAGGGATAGTGTGGTCAGCACTATGTACATCGCCTTTACTTCCTAACTTGAGTTAGGTACCCATCAGAGCTGGATGTAGGGTCTACTGTGATGTTCTACTGGCAAGACCTGGGATTTAAAGTTTAGACTGGTATGCACCACCATCCAACCATCCAATCTGAAAACAAATTATTATGAAAACTTATAATAACAAGCTTTTAAATAGACCTGTAATATGAACAAAAGAAGAAATAATGATTTTCTTTAAGTTTAATAATGCACTAATATTTATATAAATAGGGTGTCGTCCATAAATAACGTCACACTCGTAGGGGGTCCATAATTTTGTGATGAGGGGGAGGGGGTGGGTTCAGATGGCATGATGTCACACTTGCATTATAAAAAAAGCAAAGTTAGAAAACAAATTTTAGCTGTTATTTTGCGTTTTAGAAAACGCTGTTTTAATAAATTGTAACAAGAATTTATTAAAATACTCTATGTTGACAGAGTTCAGACAAGATTTGAAGTGTGATGTCATTTTAGGGGGGGGGGGGGGTCTTGCTTTTTGTGATGTGTGACAGAGGCCTATATTGTGTTGCTTACAAACTTCAAAGTAATATAATCTGGCCTATTATAAACAACAATATGGGAATATTTATGCCTCTAGTAAATTTCTGATATCTTTTTACTCCTAATTTCTAATAATTACTGGTACTTATAAAAACGCCACATTTCAAGGGAGGGAGGTAAAAAAGCTGAAAGGTACCATTATTTTAAGTTGGTTGGGGGGGGGGGGGGGGTGCTTGGCTTTATGTGACGATGTATGTTATTTTATGACGGTGGTGGAAGAGAGAGGTAATTAAAGTTTATGATGTTGTTTATGGATGCCCCTCCCCATATTCTGTTTCAGTATAGGCTACAAAAGGGTTTTATGTAAGTTCATTGCAAAAAAAAAAAACAACAAAAAAAGCCTTTAATTTTAATGAAATATATAGGTCATAATTAGTTTCGCTATACTCTATACTCCACTAGATCTAGATTCTATATGTTTTTTTTTTAAATTACCAAGGGCAGAGTACTCTGATAAATCGATTACTGGCTCAATATAGACCTAGAAGATTAGATACTAAGAAAGGCTACATATTGCAACTGCATTGTTACTGGTCATTTTTTAAACATTTGTTTTCCTTGTTCTGTCTTTCAACACGACCTGTCCGCTCTTTTCAGGAGCAATTGTTTGCTTTGCATAGTAGTCGTCTTGTCGATTCGCTTATACCATTTAAATATGAATTACCAGTTGTATAGAAATACCACCCTTGGCCACACGTTGCAAGAGAGTTTGGATGAGTTGATTCAGGTGAGACAAAAATTTTAAATATTCTAGATTCAAAATAGTAAATAGGCTATTAAATTGAAATACTTCAAAATAGTTTGAAAATGGTACCTACTACTACCTAGAGATCTAGATTAGATCTAGAAATCTACTCTAGATTTGATTTATGCCAGTAAAACTCCATTTTGGCGTATGTTTATTCGCCACTTCACTTTCACCTCTGGTTGTTGTGATTGTTTTCTTGTAATTCTAGATCTACTATAATTTGATTTTTTAAGCCTACCAGCCCAACTTTAAAAAAAAGTGTATAAAATAGCTGAATGTAGGCTATAATAGAAGCAATAAATAACATGAACTCATGAACTCACAATGATCTTGCTGGGGGGGGGGGGGGGGTACAGACAAAAAATAACATCATCCACAATCTCATATGGTAATGGTCTTGCTATGATGTATGCTTTATGCCTACACTATTCATATCTAAACCAATGTGAAATCAAAGTGACCCTACTAGTTGGACTGCCAGTATTTTTCTCCACAGACAAGAAAACTTGAGTGGGTGATCATAGGAACAATGACTTTTAGAATTGGCATATTTAAAAATCAAAATCTAGAAAAGATATAGCATCTATAAAAAGAACAATTTAAAAAATAATTACGTAAATCAATTATTGAGACTGAACTACAAACTTAGTTGGAATTTTTCTTACGCACAAAAACTGACTAAAAGGTAATCCCAGTTTAGTAAGGCTTAACCAGTAACTGACAAGATTTGGGAGGCACAATGTAATGTTCTCCACTTGCCCACAACGTCTTACGATAAATAGGCATATATAATATTTGATGATGTTCTATATTGAGTTAAATATAGGGTATTTAGAAATAGTACTTAACACTTGCAAATCCATAAAACTAATTACAATAAAATGCAACAAAATACTAGCAAATCCACTTGAAAAATCAAATAAACATAAAAGGTATAATTTTAGTACAGGTTATATGAGTGAGGAACTATAGACCAAACTTAATGCTGGGTCCGAATAGCAGCCATTTTCATAAACTAGATCTAAGTAAGCCAACTAATTATATATGTTAATATAGGATGTCCTTGGCTAATAAGATAATCATATTTAATTTATTAGCCTAGTGCTTCTAGGTATAAATCTAAAAAAAAATAGTTACGACAAAATAAAAAGTAAAAGAAAAAAATATTAATAACTAGATCTATATTTCACTAGTTATAATTAGAAATATTCTAATCAAGCAGAATTTATACTAAATATAGATTTATCTTGATCACTGTGGTTCATGGGCATTTACAGAAATACCAAATATTCCTCTCCCCTTTCTTGAAATGCTTAATTTTTTTGCATTTTCCCAATTATGTTATACAAGCCAACCTGCAGCATAGCATATGCCATTATTTAGTTATTTTATTTTCTACTTTTTTAGTAATTCCTAATTTGTGAATTCGACACTACCCTCCCTCTCCCCCACTCCCACGTGAAAGCAGCCGTCTGTGACAACAGATTACACACTTCAATGAAAAGCAGAACTTGTTACCTCCCCTTAGTTTCAAATAGTTTAAAAACTAAACTATCTGCCCCTAATAGCCGTCCCTAATTCAACCCAGCTCTACGATTATAAACATTCGGCGTGAACCACAACTCACAAGACTAGTGGGGGTGGGAGTGATAGCAATATGGTCTTTAGTTGCTGCCTGGAGAACGAGGGAGGGGGCGGGAGGAGGGTTTGATAGTTGGCTTGTGTCGTGGTGGTGTCCACATAGAGAGTTATATATAAAGATATATATATATATATATATATATATATATATATATATATATATATATATATATATATATATATATATATATATATATTTAAATAGGAAAATGCAAATGTAAAAAGTGTTGATAGAACCTCCTGGGTAAACATCTCTTGCCCAATAGCAGTCACGTGGGTTATAGAACTCGACTTTTGGTAGTGACGGCTTTTCTATTTCATTATTAAAATAAGTGCATACATTATTTGATTTATTTTTTCGCAGACTACTAAATTCTAATATTAATTCTACATTTTGGCAGCAGATATTTTTAAAAAGATCTACAAATGTTTATAGGCACCACATTTTAAAATTCTTAATCCTAAGCAATTTAAAGCCTTTCCCCGCCATATCTAGCACTGTCATTAGTTTATTTATATCACATGTAAAAACCACCATTTTCATATGCTAAACATTTTTAAAAGTAATTCCAAAGATAGTCACTGTAATAGATAAGAAAAATGTATGAGCACATGCATCTGGTTAGGATGCCATTTTGTTGAGTGTTGTTTTTTTTTTGCTCCTTTTTAGATCGGGTCTTAAAATTGTGTCTATATTTATCATTCTTACAATCCTAAACAATTACTATAGTAGTAATAGTTGTACTTGTAGAAATTTACCTAAGAAATAATTTAAAGTGTAATGTAAACATTTGTAAAAAAAAACACAACACCATCAGCTGTGAAATATGAAAATTCCACATCACATGATTACCACTTATGTTCTTTCTTTTATAAATGTGTATATGACGACAATATTAATAACAAATTCTTAAAATTTGGTAGCCATAATTGTTTCACAGGTTGCATAACAGTCAGTGTGTGGTAAACTTTGAAACTAAAATGCCACACGACCAAGTTTTTTGTACCCTTTTGATATATTTAATGCTTTTTTTTTTTTTGCTGTTTGTTCATAAATGACATTCATATGATTTATGATCTTTAAGTTAGCTTTAATTGACAATTAATTACCACTTTTTAATGACTACAGTCATCAATCAGGTGTTAACATCACTACGCACCTCAATCACCCGACTAATCTAGCAATCACCAGTGTTCCTCTTTTGTTATGAATTTCCCCCTTAAAATTAATTTAAAATTACTTATAAAATTAAGTCCCACTGTCTACATCCATTGGTCACCCACTTTGAATTGTCAAACAGACATAAAGAGCAAGTTAATTTTCTAAATCTTATGGTTGATCAAGACCAATTACTTAAAATGTATTTATTGTTGTTTCAGATGGGGCAAATCTCTCCACAACTTGCTTTAAAAGTTTTACTTCAGTTTGACAAAGCTATTAACCAAGCTCTTGCTCAACGAGTCAAGGCCAAAATTTCCTTCAAGGTAATTGAACTTCACATCTCAATAGTGTTATTCATACGGCTTATATTTGTTAGTCATACGGCTAAGGTAGACTTCTTTTTCGTGGCTAAACACTTTACTTTTATGTGTTTATGTCTAGTTGATTTAAGAGTGGTGGTGGATATGTTTGCAGCAGTGTTGTAATGTTGGGAGAGTAATTGTAGTTGTAGTCAAAACTATTGTTTCCTACAGTTTGTTCATAATGGCTCTTAGTGGGTTAGTGGCAAATCTTGCGTATCAATTGCAACCCACTTCTAATGCAGCAATTGCCTTCCAACTTTCCAGATATGTTGTTCTATAACAATGCAAGAATACCTATTTTTATTTTAATTAGATAATCAGTCATTAAAATTAAATTTTATCAAATTTCTAAATTTAGTATAAATAACAAAACTTGATCATCCTGTTTACAACAGTGAACTGTAGTGAACAGTTCTTCACAGCTGGCTGAATTATTGTCTTAACATCAACGTCAAACTATGTTAGGGCAGATAATTTTTTTTTCAAAGATCACAAGCTACTAGTTGGGTTTTTACACAAATGTTTTTAGTGTCAACTTTATGTAGAACTAATTAATAGAAAGTGTGAGGGAGATAAAATAAATACAAAAACTTTTATAATAACAATGCACTGAAAATAAGAGAATAAAACAAACTTGCTTTCTTTAACAAAAGAAAAAGCTTTGGTCACTAAAATATGTAAGAGATATCATGAGTGACCACACTTGTTTTATTTTCAGTGCATTTAAAAGCTTATTATTTAAGGTTTTGTTAGTTAATTTATATATAACTCACCTAAATTTATTATTGTAGACTTATTCTCAATTAATTGAACAGCCAAAGTAATTATGTAAAATGCTCTTTCAACACAATTTGAAAATTTCTGTGTTTATAACTTTCTGCATTTATTTATTTTCCAGATTAACATTTTGTAAATTTGATTTTTCTGCAGGGTAAACTGAACACCTACCGTTTCTGTGATAATGTGTGGACTTTTGTTTTAAATCAAGTTGAATTTCGAGAAGCTCCTGTACAGGAGATAGCTAAAGTGGACAAAGTGAAAATTGTGGCTTGTGATGGGAAGAGCATGCAATCTTAGGATAAGAGTTGTCTTCCTTTAACTCCAGTTTTTTTTGTGTGTGCTTGGAAGTGAATGTCATCATATCATGGACTCCAAACAACTAGTGTACCATAAAATTTCACCTGTTGATGGTGTTTTAATTACAATTTTTGAAAAGGAAGCTGGGAAAGTTTTTTTTTATTTAAAAAATGTATATTTTATTATGTGCATTACTCAAATTATTGCATGTAAACACATTTTACATATATTTTTTAAATTCTTTTGCTAAAATAAAAATGTAACATATATTTAAGAAAATCAAATTTATTTTGTTTCTTCCAGCTACAGCAGCAATGTGTAGTAAATCAATTATTTACAAATAAGAACTTGTCTTAGAGGCTTGTGCAAGCTTTGTCTGAACACTATCACTAATGTTCTTACAAATTATGTATGGGTGGGTGGTCTGTTCTATACTTCGTCAATGATATCAAATAATCTCACCTTTTTAAACTTCCTGTCTTTTTAAAATGTTTTTTGAGTAAAAGATGTTCAGTTGTGTATAGTTTTTACTATGAAAATATTTTTTTTATAGACTAATTGTATTTGATGTTGGTTAATGGTGTTAAACTTGTTCATTGTACAATTTTAATTTTTTTTTTGCAATTAAAAAATGTACCATTTTGAATTCAAAGTTGAATTATTTTAACCATGGGTCTGTTGTAGAATAGAAGTTAACTATCACATTAAACCTTACAATTCATGGGCAGATGAAGTAGAGTTCACCTGTTTTAGTGACCTAGTGTGGTCAGCAATTTGCCCAGCACAAACGCCAATCCAAGATGGACGGACTAAGGGACATTGTACAAGCTTGAGCCCAGGACTCCAAACTTCAGTCTAATGCTCTACCAATCAACCAAACCATCCCTAGAATAGAATGTAGCTTACAGGTGAATACAAAAAAGATTCTGCATAAGTGTGCTTGGGGTTGTTATGTGCCTGTTGACTTTGAAGACTTTAAGATGTGCTTCCATAAGCTCTTTTAGATTGCTTGCTGTCACCCGCTAAGATCCTTAGCATTCAGGAAGCAAGATCTTTGGGTTATGTTACTGCACTTTCCAACCCTGATTACACCTGGATACTTCCAAAAAATGTATAATTTATGATCAATTCCATAGCAACCAAATTTTTAAATTATTGACTGAACACAGTCTGAGCATATTTTTTTTTTATTTTGTTCAGAATGTCATGTATATATATACATTATAATATAACTGTAGCTGAAGGAAACTATCCTTAACACGCTACACACAACAAGGAATCAACTATCTCTGACACAGAAGTAGCTAACAAGTCCTGTAAAGTTACAGATGCCCTCTCACAAGAAAATTTATTGCAATGAAAGCGATGACAGTCGATCATCTAACTAAAATTAATTAAATAAAAATGTTAAAGTAATTTGAAAATGCTAGCAGAGAACACTTCGACAAGTTGAAGATAGCCTCTTTGCATGGAATGAACTTAAAATTACATAAGAAAATAAACTGCCCAAAACATACATACAATCAAAACTGAAATTAGAAATGAAAGAACTTAAAAATTTCAGTTAATAATAATTTTAAAAAACAATTTACATTTTGTTTACCATAACTATGTGTTCTAGTTAACTTACCATTGTTTCAATAGACATAACAATATATGTAATGCTGGCTTAATCCATTGAAAAATGGAACATCTGTTACCATGTCTCAATAACAGCAAAGCATATCTTGCTACTCAGCTACTGAATTTTGTATTCTAAAACTATCAACAACATGAAAACAATGCTCACAATGACAAATTAAATTATGTATAACTTACGTGAAGTTAAAAAAAAAAATAATCACAACTGCGTGAAAGAAAACAAAATAAGAATTGGTGTTGGAAAAAGACAAACAAATGGTTGTAAACACCAACTGCATTGGTGCGCTGTGCAACATCCCCTCTAATCCTCATCAACCACAAATTAGACTAATGCTTTAGACGAGGTTAACACATCTCATACAACAGCGTATAAATACATGTCTACCTTAACCGGGTCTAAGAACGATATGTCAGACATCAAATACAGCATTAACTTAGTGTGTTATCATTTAAAAAAGTGTTTTATTCTACCAAGGTTTTTTAGGGTGTTGTATAAAAACCTAACTCTTACATGCCTATTTGAATGAATACAGTTAAATATGAGTATTCCAGTTTTCAAATCTATCTAAAGTACCTATTTTTCATTTTAACTTTCAACGAAATACAAAAATAATTATATTTAAAGAAAAAACAATTTAATAATCCAGGAAGGTAAAAATTGTGTAGAATATTAACTATAATGTTTAAAATGAATTAACAACAAACAAGTATTAAATATACAACACATGTTGCTCTCCCCAACAATAATAAGTTTATTCAGTATCATTTTCTGCTGTCTTCACTATACAAAATGCACTTTTCCCACTTTCCTTTGAACATACAAAACTTTATTATTTAAAAATAACCTATGTACAGTTAACGGTTTCCTTTTTTAAAAAAGAAATAGGCATAATTAAAATTAGCACAGCATGTTTTCTGTTACTGCAACTATACAGCACAACGCAACTGCCATGCACAGCATACATCAAATATAAATAGTCACCATTAAGTTAAGCACACTCGGGGATTGGGAAGAAAGAGACCAAAAAAAATTTTGATGGAAGAATACATTGGCTCATACTTCCTCTTAGCATATTTATTAAAACATTTATTTTTAACACCAAAAAGCTCCATACAATTAGCATCCATGAGCAGGCCAAAGCCTTATGTAATAGCATACAATGCATTCATACTTGGCCCTATCTTTAATCATGTTATATTAACTATCTAGATTTTTTCAAAAATTCATATTTTAATCATTTATTAATATAAAGTTTAAAATATATATGTTTTTTGTATTCACATGGAATATGCTACACACCAATAACATTGATCAGGCATAGCTAGAGAGAGTGGATGAAATGACTTTCTAACAAACACTATTTCCAGCCTTTGTTCCTATACATTTTCTTATAGTCTTTTTTTTTTCAACATTAGCACCCGTATAGCAATGTTAACTATAAAAATATTCAACTGGCTTGTATAGTATGGCAGCTCCATTTGTTATACTGAAACACAAACCTGGCAGAGTTTTAGAAGTTCTCACCACTCACTAGTATACACAAATTTGGTACATACAATAATAAGTTACTGTGTAATCCTGTGTGAGGAAATATTTCACTGACCACTAGGAATGAAGGGTATGGTTATCATAACCTTCTATGACAAGAAACAGTTTTTTTAATTTTTTAAAATTGTCAAAATTGTGAGATTTTAAAATAAAAGTGAAGCATTGAAATTCATTAAATTTCTAGTTAGCACAACTGTTGTGCCAATAACAAACGAATCAAACATTGATCTAAGACAATGCAATGAGGACAAATGAATGTATGCGCATTGGGATCTACGCCAAACTACAAAAATATTACATGACATGGAATACTTCCCGTTTTAAAAACATTTTAAATTGTTAGAGAAAGCAGCCAAATTACAGAACAAAAATATTTCCTGATCCTTTTCAATCTATTTCCCAAATTGGATTTTAACATATGTAGCCTAGTAAACCATCTAGTGTAAGCAAAGACTAGCTTACACAAAGATGATTGAAGAAAAAAATATACTTATGTGGTGGGGGTGGGGGGGCAATGACACACAAAAAATACAAGTTGAAATGCAAATTTTCACTTGAAATGAGACTAGAGAAATGATATTGGACATCAACAAGAGTCAATATGGATACCTTATCACTTATGACAGGATGTTTAATTCTAATTAAAAACAATTTAATCAAAGACGAAGAAAATGGATACATAGGATAAAGGATTTTTTCACGTGTTTTAGTGGACAGAATAAAGGCCAGATATTACATTTATGTTTGAAGTTCTCTAATTCAAAAACAGTAAAACGCTAGCTTCAACTTTTAAAGCAATCTAATTCAAACGCTTTAATGGAAAAACTACATTTACCTTTTAAAATAATATAAACTTGTTACAGAAAAACTATTACCAATGGCTTTAAAAAAAATGGAAACATTGAATGTATGTGATAAACAGTGGCTGTTCTAACAACATAATCATTAACGTCTGGCCTATGTACAAGAAACAGTCGTCACCTGTTTCTCCATCTGGGTTCGGAACCCCAGGAGTTCTAAATACACTTTCTTAACTGGCTACATCATGACAACCATCCCCTCACAATATGCACACAATATTATTCAAGTTTTCTTCTATTTTTAACTAAACACTGATGTTAGAGACTGAATAAAAAATAGTGGAACCAATAGACCCAACCTGACTGATGCAGCAACCCTTTTAGAGATCAAATGAATTGGCCAACATTGAAAAAAATAAAGGTAAGATGAGCCTTTGCTCCTTCAGAAAAAGATAGCTAGACATTAATCCAATTAGGATGAAATAACTAGATATTTCCATCAGGAAAGGATAAACTAATAAATTTTGTTATACAAATAATCCTTACAATAGTGTTTACAAAAAAATTCTTTAACAAAAGCTTTCCTACAAAGTGAAAAAAATATCAGCACAATTTATTAGCCATATAGCATTTTTTTCTAAAATCAAAACTAACTCATCAATCAGGTTTTTATGAATGGACTATAAAAATTCTTTCAGTTGTTTAGACAAAGTGTTAAATCTTTGAAGAGAAATCAAGCAGACCAGCAATCCACTGTGGCAATGCTGCGCCTCAAAGAAAACTGGATTTAGTGACTGGTGCCTAAGGGGAGTAGTCTTCTTGGTGGCCTAGAGACATGCACCCTTGGCTGGTGCACCCGGGGTGACTAGTGCCTCATGTGACTGGTAATCCAGGTGACTTATGGTGACTGTGTCCTAGTTGACTCACATCAAGGATGACTGTCTTAGGTGACTCACATCACAGGTGACTGCATCTTCCCAGTGACTCCAATGACTCCACAACCTTGGCCTGCTGCTGTCTTTTATCACAGAACCCACTCCTCCCCTGCATCAACCAGTCTCACAATCTCGTCTGAGGGAAAGAAAAAAAAACAAAGCCATTTACAAACTCCATTCATAAGGAACAACATAACATACATCATCAATAAAGTTTAAATATTTTTGACAAAACCTGAAAATTGAATTAAAAAAAAACCTTTCAGTAAAAAACCCACCTCAAAGTTAAAAATAAAAACTTGCACATAAGCAAGCGCAGAAAAGCATAAACTAAAGTATTCAATATGCAAGTAGGTAAATACCACAGCATCAGATGAATTGACAGTTAGTTATAGAGTGAATCAAGTAAAATAACTTTACAAAGATGAATCAAACATTTACAGTAAACAAACATTGATTTTAAATAAATGACTGTCAGCTGAACATCAAAACATACAAGATTTAAATACAGACTACAAATAACGTCCATCCACTACTTTTATGTCATTTCATGTTCCAGATTTGGACAAGACTTCTGCTATCTCGACATGTGACCTAGCTATTTCAATCAGCATCTAGAAGAATCTAACCTTTGACGTTAAAAGAGTATGTTTATAAAAGTTACCAAACCTTTGAATTGTTTAAGTAGTAAGCATACAGTATGTTCCATAATAGTTGGAACTAATCTGGTAAGTCAGTATATAACATTTGTTAGTTGTAAAGCAGCCAAGCAGCAGGCAGTAACAAGCAGAAATGTTCTACATTTTCTTATTAGAAGCTATCCATTAAATGACATCATGCGGTAGATTTTCAAAATTACCTTCCAACCTTCCTAAATTGTCACTAAAATCTACTAGACTCACACCCACCCACCCACAATTCAAAATGTTTTTTTTTTCCATTCTTTTTTAAATTGAAACTTCTCACATCCATTTAAAATGACCCTTTGCATATGATTAAAAAAAATCAGAGGCTTGTCAATGTTAAAATAACAGAAATCTTAAAATAACAATGAAGATTTGTCTAGGTTCTTTGTCTATGACAGAAAACAAAGACCTGTCTTTGTTCCATACCAAAGTCACATTGACAACACATTATTTTTTTGTTTTAATTGAAAATTAAGTAAACTAAATCAGTCTTTTAACAACACTTAAATACCATCACCACTTACTATATCCAGATACAACAAAGCCATAATTTTAACAGCTTCAGTCAATTACCATGTCAATACCAAGCTATATATTACTTTTTTTGCAAGACAGATCAGTATACTAATTAATTAATAATCAAAACAAAAGCCCATTTGTTTTATTCATTTTTAGTTGTACCAAACTATAAGATGACTATCCTACATTTTTTTCTAGCAAACCTCTTGAATAGGAAATTGAGAGCAGAAGATTTCTAACACATCCCAAAATGATAGAGGTATACACATCTACAGTAAAAGTTATCAGAGTTTAATATTTGTGATCAAAGGAATACTTAGATAAAAGTTGTACCATAAGAGGAAGAGTGTACAAAAAGACTATAATCTAAGCTATAAGCTTCCAGTCAGTGAAAAACTGCCTACTTTTTTTGTGTAGTAAACAAATATACATGACTTTATTTAAAGGTTCCAGATCTCTATCACAAATCAACTTTTATAAAGGCAAAGATTTCTGAATAAACTGCATACAGCTACGCATTGTAATTTAATAAGGTTGCAGTTGTTTTTACATTTTTCCCAAGTGTTAATATAATGTTGTGGAAAGATGTGAAATATAAAAAGATGAGAAATATTTAATCTACCTTATGATAGGAGAGAGGCTAAGTATTAGCAGATGAACATGATTACACCAGAAGGCAAATAGAGAGTAAAAAGCTCTGACATTAAAACAGAAAGCTATACCTTTAATGGTTGGTTATCTCAATGGCAATTACTGAACAGGGCACGTCCTGATGGGCACAGTGGCAGAGATTAAAAGAGGAGAGGGGGCGAGGAATTATAACAGCTATGATAAAATAAACCTCAAACTATCAAATCAACTAAAATCTCATTGCTTTATTAACTAAATAAAAATATATCAAGTAAATAAAAAAAAATTACAGATGTTCATAAAAATATCTATTTAACATAATATTCTCATATATATGCAGTGCTTGAATTGTCATAAACACCAATAGAATGGCATTCCTGAACGTAGAGATAACATTCAAACATGAATTTGTAACACCTATGAATGAATTCAAAAAGAAAAGTTTGATAAAACAATGAACATGTATAATCTATTGGTACTACAGACATTTAAAATCCTGAGAAATCCAAACAACCATCACAACAAAAAATATACAACTCATTACCAACAAATAGTCAGCGTCACAACATTACACTCTCTATCAAACCTAAGGGCAATTCTAGTTTGTTTAGTCTTTGAACAAAAGCCAACAGGTAACGTCTTTACCCAAGCTCTAATAAGATTCAAAACATAAGCTCCAATGGCATGCTTGTTACACTTGTTCTAATTAATTAAACTAATTATTTAATCAATGACTCATATTTAATTAAAGTCTTAGTGATCAGCACTTTCTGCAGCTGTCAAACTAACCATGCCATGCTGTCAAGAGCACATTACTAGCTGCAATCATTGGTTAGCATGCTGTAAACATTTGTTAACACATCATCTATTCTCTTCCATGCATTGGCAAATACATGCGCTTTCTAATGTTTCTTCAAAAACTACGTGTTTGTTTATTGAATTTGAGATTTTTAAAAACTTACAAAATTGGATAAAAATTTAAAGAAAGAATTAATGATAATTTTTGGAATTTTTTTTTTTAACTTTTCAACATCTATTTCTGAGATTCATACCAAAGAGAACCATCTTGACAATTGTAATAAGAAGGATATGTAACTGGCTTACACCCTAAATTTGAGATACATGTTAATGTTGAAAAAAGAGATATTGTTTCAAGTGAAATAACTGTACAACTTTTTAAATGTATGTAGAATGTGAACGTTGTCAGAATCATGCAGATTGGAAGCAATGGCTGATATTCCCATCACCACAGAGATCTACACATGTCTACCTTTAAACATCAGCATGTCCATGGGGCTTTGGTCTGCTCTTTCTTTCATCCTTAAAATTGGATAGTGGACATGGATAAAACAGTCACAAGATGATATAAGAACTAAAACCGTTGCAAGTTTCTATTTAAAAAAACTTTACGAGTGTAGAGAATGGAAGGATTATCTGCTTTTCTACTGCAAGGACTAGAAATATTTAAGCCAGTAACTAAAAAATATAATCGTAATAGATTTTTGTGATGATGTGTTCTGTAAATGTAAAAATATGAAAAATATAACTGTCAAAGGATCTTGTGATGATGTGGTCTGTAAATGTAAAAACATGTTTTGACATTAAAATGCTGATAGTTATTTACATGACTTTATATTAGTTAATGCTATCATCTGGCACTTCAATTTACAAAGATCATTTTTTTTTTAGAGAGGTCTATGAAAATAACAAATAAGAATGTATTTTAAAGATTAACTAGTATAAGGTCTTTAAAACTATATTAACCCGTTTTATTTCTTCAAATTTTTGTCAATACTTTTTTAAGCTTTTATATTCATTGTTTGAACAGACAAGAAGTTTTGATTTATAGTATATATAATAATCTATTGTATTTGTGAGATATGAGATGATGTAATGCAGACATACAGAAATAGCAGAGTATAAAGGTATATCACATACAGATACATGTCTAACCCTGTACCAGTATATGTATAACTTACATGCACCAATGCATGGCTTATTTAACATATCAATCAATGTTAGCCAAGATTCTGTTCCATGGCCCTATCATCTCAAATAATTCAATTCAAGTTCCATGCCAAGTTCAAACTATTAGATCCTGATTTTTACTAGGTCTTCAGTACAAGGAAGTTCCATGTTACGTTCAAACTCACTGCCTGAGTTTACTTAATTAGTCTCTACTGTCAAGGCAACTCAAAGACTAAACATACAAGACTGACAAGTGCATAAATTAGCTTTCAAAAGTTACAGGGTGAGCAATGGTGGGCTGGTGCAACACAAACAAAAAAGCAGGGAAGTGGAAGGGGGAGGGGAGTGTTAAACTGTGGGTAAAATGACATGGCTTATATTGACAGCCCTGTCAAAGTAACATTTAATTGTATGTATAATAATCTATAGAATAGCAAAACAAAACCAATTCTTAAATTTACAGCTGGATTTATTTGTGAGAAAACAGATTACTTAAATAATCACCCAAATAAACCACTAGACTTTATATTTAGAGCTTTTTAACACTAACCGAAATGCAATAACTTTATCATTTGCCATCCTGTGACAGACATTTTCAAATTAAAACAAAATAGTTGTACAGATCTGAACAATGGACACTCCTATTAAGTTAGTTGTTTATATTTTTAAAAATTTCCATGCAATTCGTTAGTGTGATTATAAGGTTTTTCATTTAGTATTTAACATTAGCTATTAACATTTAAAAAGTATTATTATTTCAAATCCTAAACAAGACAAGGACGCAGAAAGTGTTATTGTAAATTCATTTATAGTAAAGTTGCTGCATCTTTAAGATAGGCATTGTTAGCAGCACTAATATAGGTTTTCATACATCACATAAAAAAAAAAGAAAATGAATTCATAGGATCTGCATAAGTACTGAAATATGCTGAAATAGAAATTTGTTAGAAAAAAACCTTAATAAACGAAATAAACATATTAGTTTTAGGTGAAAGTGTTAAACTGTTAATAAACCCCACTGTACTTTGTTAAAGGTAGTGTAATCTAAACAGTGATGGTATTTCATTGCTTGCTGTTTGTGAAGGCACTATGATGCATAGCTGAATCTGGAATAAAATTCTAGAGATGGCAGACATTACCACAGAATCTATAAATCTATAGGTGCCCACTAACCCAATGTAACAAAAATGGAGTTATTGTGAACTAAATGCAATTCTAGTGATGTGTTTTAACAGGAGAGAAAGTAGTTAATGTTATTTAAGGAGATTACGGGAAACATTTTTAAAAAATATTTTAGTCGTGTGAAATAAAAAACTAAAACAGTTTCTACCCTTTCAGTGTTCACACCCAAATGATTTCATCTGAAACAACAATGGATTCAAACACTTGATTTAGGTTAATGTAAATTAAACCTCTAAGTTCTTTTAAAGAATTTTATAACATTTGTTAGCCAGTAGAATTTAGATTTAATACAAGTCTTTGACAAATTTAACCCTAGCTAATCTGAAAATCTTTGATTAACAAAGACTTCATTTCATTATAAAACTCAATAAATATTGGAGTAATTTAGACTATTTTCAATGTCCTAAGAAGATAGAACTATCGCAAGAAAAATAAGCTGAAATTTCCAAAAATATTTTCCTTTATTTTCTTATCCTCTTTTTCATTTACAAATTAAGCTATTTCTGTCACAGTGCTTGCTTACGTTCTCTTAACATGAGAGTTGAATTTGTTTCATTGTAACTACTTGTTCTGATTGTTAATTGAGCTCAAATGACTTTTAAAATTTCTCACAGCTTGACCAGTAGACCTGATGCTTTTTCCCTCACTTAGCTTATATTACTGGATTGCAATGTGAGCCCTATTTTTACTCAACTGACTTTAATTTTGTGGCTTTTAAATATGAAATCATTGGATAATACAAATGTAGATACACCTCTTTCACCTACCTGCTTAAATAGACATATTGATCAATCTGTTTTTTAATTTATTCAACTTTTTTATTGTGTTGATTTTAATGGTGCAGCGCATCTATTTATTTTATAGGATATTCAGAGATATAGATCTACAGTGAAAAGCTTATATCATGCAATCTGGTATCAGATTTTCATTAAAGCATATTTGTTGTTTAGTATAGTATATTTTATCTGACTGATATAGTTTGAAAAAAACAACTAAGAACATGCAATTCAGCGTCTACAATCGACACCAAACATGTGACCTGTAATAAGAAAACCATAACCAGGCTAACTGGTGCATTTAACCAGGCTAACTTTACTATAGTGTGAGTAGCCAGACTGGCTGTGGTGCAAGTAACTTTTAACCAGGCTTCATTATGGTGTGAGTACCAGGCCAGTCAATGTGCTAATGGTTATATGAGCCTCTGAAATACTAATGTTTATGTGAACCTCTCCTGGTTTTTTCTTGCCCTACTCACCTAATGTCTCTGAGACCTGATTTAGCCAAATAAAAATCAAATCATTTAACCCACACACGTGAAAAAAAATTTAAATTGTGAATGAAAAGATGTGAACCATATAGATTATTTTTTAATTTCTCAACATCAAAAAATTCTTACTGTTTCAGAAATTTCAGCTGAGATTTCAATAGTTTGTGCTGCTATTGTTGTAGCGGAGGAGGAAGTGCCTGTTGACTCGCTTGTGTCCCCTGATGCCAGTGATGTGCTGGTTGTTGAATACTGAACAGAGCTTTCATTTTTTGATGAAACTTGTGAGTCTGGGCTTGTCTGGAACAAACATGTTCAAATCAAAGTTTATTTCAAATGTTGCTTCTACAGGCCAACTTAAAAACAATTGTTTTTATTAGCATTCTATTTCTTTCACGTCTATTGAAACAACTTTACATGACTGCAATTACCATTTCAAATTGTTTCTAAAAGTAATTTATAACTATTGAATATCAAAATATAAGTGTATGTATTTAGTCTTTTTTCGAGTGGAGTCTTTGTACATGTGAAGTCTTTGTATGAGTGGAGTTATATGTATTGAATCCTTGAATGTATTGAATGCATTGAGACTTTGTATGTAATGAGCCCAATTTTTTAAAATATTGATTGTAAAATAAAGAATAAAAATTTAAATCCATACAGTGCAGCTTATAAAAAAAAAATGAGTTACCTTGTACGAAACATCTTCTGTCCTGACACTACTGTAGCCAATCTGCGGGGAGCGTGAAGGCGATGATAGGCCAGCCTTGCCTGGCTGCTGGTAGCGCAGGTCAGGGCTGTGTACAGGAGAGTCTAGACCAACAGTGTCAAGAGGATTGGTGCTGCCAGTGTCTGTGGGGGGTAATTTTAAAAATGGTAGTGGCAAATATTTAGAAAATAATTCATGGCATTGAAAAGCTCTATTAAGGGTAGAAAAATTAGAGAACAAGTTTTTGTTTAACTTGTTTCATTGTTGTTTTTTATTCTAATTTCTATTAAGTACAATAATTTTTTAGTTAATATTTAAATTGCAGACTAAAACAGTTCTTTTTTCTGCTTTCTCAACTGCAGTATAAATCAAACACTGTATTTAGGACATGCTTGAATAAAATAATGTCAATTATTGTACACATACGAAAATTAATTTCATTCTCAAAATTACAAAATCAGTATTTAGAAAAGATAATTGTTTTGTTGGACTCTCTAACAGAAATTTTATTTCAAGATATTCAAGATAATACTGTTTTGTTAATAACGGATGATCAAGCACATTTTAAGAAAGAATTTTAAAACTTGAATGATCTTTTTTCATCTTTGAAAAATTGTACGATCCTGCAGTTGGTTTTAAAATAAGCTTTGCTGAATGGTATCATGCTGAGCTAAATACATGCTAAAAGTAACTATTTTTAAAATGCAACAAGTAATTAACTTTTCTCAAAGATATATTAATGAAATAGGTATAGTCATTTGGAATTTATTTCTACAACAACAAATTGGTTCATACATATAAATGTATTTAGATGTATATACTGATGGGGTAATGTGTTGACTGATTGATATGGAGCAACTAGGAATCTAAATAATGGAAAGGTGTTTTACACACAGACAATTATTAAATAGCCTATACAATACAAGGTAACTAAAAACTTCCAAATGAAGCAAAGCAAAAAAAAAAAGACTAGTATAAGATTTTGAGGTCGTAATGTGACATGAAACACTGATACATCACCATCATGCCACCACCAGACCACCAACAACATTCAGCATTTCAACAACTAAGGGCAAATACTTGATAGGATAGTTTTAAATTTTTTTTAAAAAGTAGGATTTAATTTTTTATTTTATTTTTTGGAAATAAAATTTTTCTTTTCATTAAACGTGAAACTTTAAAAAAACTGTATAGGAAAAACAATTTTTACAGAATAATAAGTAAATTGCTAAACAAGGATATATGACATAACCAATACAAAAAAATTATACAGGGTAAAAGGTGGATTGGTAACAGAAGGAAAAAAAACTATTAAAAAAAACACTAAAATTTCACATAAAAAATGTGAATGTTAGCTGGAACTAATCACCCTGATTGCATTTGGTGAGAGAATGGCTGGTGGCAGTGGCTGATGGAGGAGGGAGGGGCACTGCCCTAGTCGAGGAGGAGGATGCTGGCTGTAGCAGGTAGTGAGCAGAGCAATGGGTGGAAATAAAGTGAGTGGTTGCTGTGGTGCAACTGCTACGTGCAGTGCCTAGTGGAGATGGAGAAAAGAGGAATTCATTTAATTTTTTAATTTTTTTTAGAGGATTTCTTTTAGGCGAGTTACTTATTTTAAATTTTCAAATTACAAAAAAAAAAACAACAGGGGTGTTAATTTCAATTTACCAGGAGCAACCATTTTATAAATCATGCAGAGATTAGTTAATACTAGCTAATATTTTAATATTAAACTTTTTAAATTTGTTTAGAAGGGCATAATAAAAAGTAGTCATATATAAATTATAAATATGAATATATATTACTCAGGATATATGAACGATTTTGTAATGAATGGGTACTTTGGTTAGTTGATGTGAAATCACAGAAAATATACCCACTTAAATCAATATGGGTATTGAATACAGTTTAAATTTGTATTTATTTTCACTGCTCAATTTAATTTATTGCCATGACCTCCAAAATGTGTAACAAGTAACTACAAAAGTACTTTTAATAGAGCATGCTATGCATTAAACAAAAAAGATACCAAAAATTATTTTTAGTCAGGTAAACAAAGTAAAAATTTCAATTACTTATTGTTAATAGAAATTAAAATTATTTACTTTATTGTCTGGCTATATTATTATCTTAATATAACTTTACCAAACGTATCTAGTTATATCTATCCATTAATTTCTTTCCTAAAACCAAATCAATTCAACTAATACCACTTAACTAAATGCAAAAAAAAAAACTGGATAAAGAAAAGAATTTTCTTTGAATCCACAGTGCAGATTTGATATGTAGGTGCAAGTGTTAGCAGTGCTAAGCTAAAGTACCCATGACATCACTGCAGCAGCTGGGGCTAGAGTTGGTAAAACTTGGCGTGCCCTCTGTATAGGTGTGGGTGGGTGTGGACTCAGACAAGCTGAGAGGGGGGGAGGAACCTCGTGGGTAGTTGGTACCTATTCCTCGCAAAGATGCTGTGGAGGCCGTCCCTGCAGACAGAGCATCCTCACTGGGGTAAGTGGTTAGGTTGATGGCTTCAGACCTGTTCAACACAAAGTTCAAATAACAAATCAGTAAACATTTTTTTAATAAAAAAATATAAATCAATAACAGTTGAGTATCTCCACTATTTTAAAAAAAATTCTTGTATATACTAATACAAGAATAAGTAATGTCACTCAAAATTATTATTTTTTTGTTTCATGAGAATATCCGTACAAAAATGGGAACAATCAGTGATGTTTTCAGTGAAGACAAAACAATGCGTTTTCAGTTGTGAAAATGAAATTTGCAGTTTTAAATGACAACATTCACTACTCTTCCAACACATGATTTAATATTAATTTAAAATGTGGACTAATACTGCTAAAAATATAATTAACATCGCACAGCATTAAAAAATAAGTTTGTTAATTGTTAAATGTAATGATGTTGAAAATGTTAACACCATTCGGCTAAAGAAATGATACTTGATTTCAATGTACAGATAAGTATTTCCTATTTTTGAATAACAAATAATATTACACAGAAGAGACCAGTGTTAACTAGGGAGAGCTAGCAATCTACTTGAATAAATAGCAAACCATTTATTCACAAAGCTAATTACACTTAACACACTTCAAACACTAATAGGGGGTTAAAAACATTCTGCATGAACACATTTTTATAACCATGTTAGAATAGGCAATGTTCTATATTAAGTGACATTCACACAACTATATCAATACATTAGATGTGCTTAGTTATCAGAAAATGCCAACATCTAACAGAGTATTACAGCTTTATAACTACACTCTGCGTACAGGAAAAAACACTGTATCCATGAACATTTTGATTCAACTATTATTTTCTTTTAAATTTGTAAGATACACAACCTAAACACAGCAAGTTCAAGTTAAACCTTTTAAAATGAGTGGAATAATATATTTAGTATAAGGGACAGCACTGTCCATTCTTGAAATGACACTGCAGGCATGGACTAACCAAACAACTGATCATGCTTCTAGCTAGTCATGTTTTTTTTAAAATTTGCATCATGTGGCCATCAAAAGAAAAAGGAGATAAAAAAAATTCACCCACCGTGTCCATGCTCTGAAAGACAAGATAGTTTTTCTTCAGATTTTATACATGTCAAATGACTGAATTGATCCCTTTAGCTTTGTTTAAGATACAAATGATAACCAGATTAAGTACACTTCTTTTTTCTGTGACCTCTGGCATGACTAGCTGAGAATATTCATAGCAGCAATCTCTTTCCCCTACCCTTTTCAGATACTACTCAGTTGTGTGTATTTTATTTACTATTAACAGTCATTTAATTCACCTTGGCCACTTTAAATTATGGCCATATCTCAATTGTAGTATTTCTAGTGCAAACACACTTTCTATAAAGTCACTTTTAAAATAAATATTTTTTATCATGTTATTCCAGGAAATTGTGGAACTATACCCTAAAGCATTTTCACCAATATTAGAGTAGGATACAAGACCCTCAAAAAACCACCCTGATAAAAAAGACAAAATGTGACACAATACAACTTTCAAAACCAACTTTGAATTTAATGAAATATAAATCACACTGTTGTAATTAAACAGTTATTTCACAAAATTTTAATTCACTGAATCAAGATAAATATGGATCTTTAAAATTTGTCAATCAACCTACCGTTTTTGTCGAGAATTTCCATTGATATTGTGTCCCAGTGGTCGGGGTGAGGGGGAGCGGTTAGCATTGCTAGACGGCATGTGGGAATTTTCAGGAAGTAGATCTGGCTTGCCACCCACAGCACCAGAACCTGGTAAAAAGCAGTTGGTGAATTCTTAATTTGCACATACAGTTTCTTTCTATATATATATATGTAATTAATTGTTTAATACTATTCTTTTTTGTATTTACCTAAGTAATAAAATTAAAGAAACAGAATAGAAACAAAAGAGGAAATTTAAAGAAAGTTGAGGCAGTCAGAGCAAGGTAATGCACATGACAGTGAATCCTTTTTTTTCCTTTCAACAGTTTGTCCTTTTCTTGCATTATTTTAGTTTTTTCAATCAATATTCTAGCTTTTCTAGCAAATAATCAGTCATTTTTTGCTGCTGATCAGTTGTTTTCAGCTAATCTGTCATTTCTTGCAACAGTCCTATAATTTCTTTTGTACTATTTTTTTTGGCAAACAACTGTTCTGTCCTCCAACTTTCAGTCATTTCTTAAAGTTTTTCATGTCAATTTGTGTGCATATGATCTGTCAATCCTAGTAACAATTCTCTCATTTCTTGCGCAACAGACAAGACAGAGAGTGAGGTAAAAGTAATGAATTACCTGCTGGAATAGCCTCATCAGAAAAACTAATGGTTCTACCTGATCTCTCAGGCTTCATATTGGCAGTGCCACCTTCTGGCTGCTCTGGGATGGGTTGCTGCCCTTTGGATTTGTTCACTAAGGACCTTTTCTTTGAAGGAGAATGTTTAAGTGCTGGAAGGAGCAAAACAAGAGCATTTAAAACTTCTTATCAAGATATACACAATTGTTAAGTAAAGCAAAATTTTTATGTGGCCACTATAACTAAAAGGTTAAGTAGAGGAGGGGCAAGCATAATTGTGTATTTACTTCCCCAACTTTATTTAAAGTATCAAATAGATACTCAAGAAATGAGTGCTCTCTCAAGAAATGAGTGCAAACTCTCAAAAGTTTAAAATTGTATGAGTTTTTGAGTTAGCCAATCAAGTGCTCAACAAAAAACTTTTCTTAAGAACTATAATATAAAAATAGAAATGATTAATAGTTTATTATTACTCTTGCTGTCAAACTCTATTAGTACCAGGCCAAATAAAACAGACTTCATACTTTCCCCAAATCATCTAGTTTAGAACTTTTTATGCACCAACTCTTCTTGGTTAAGAACTTGTTTTCATACATTAAGAAATTGTCAAAGTTTATTATGTATTTTATAATACAACCTTTCCACAATAAAAATAAATCAAGCAATGAAGTCACCTGTTGGGGTTTTCTTGAACACCCTTGTTGCATGGTACTGTAAAAACCTTTGTGCATAGTAGCTGGGCCGATGCACTGATATTGTGTCCTGGGAATAGTTCACAATTGCATAGTGTTACTTTTACAATACATGTGATATAGCATTCACAGTTAAAACAATTAACAATATCTGCAGTGGGTTCATGATAAGATTCTGCTAACACATCCTATCTGAATATATATCTCGTTAATTTTATCTGTAACAGCAAAGTCCAATAAAAACCAACAAGACTTTACTAACCCATATATCCTATCTAGTATTTGACTGCTAGCCAGAAAGTTAAGCAGTGATGGCTACCAAACTCATATTAGAGAAAGTAGTGAGGCATAGTGCTGACCTCACTATCCTTTACATGCCAAGGTCACAGATTAATTCTACTTCACTTGCCCCAAAGACCAACAGGTTTGAAAAGGAATTTAAAATATTTCACTTATACACTCTATCTGTAAATTCCTCATTTCATCGGTACAAGCAGGGTCCATTAAAAACAAATAATTCAACTAAAATATCTAACTTAATTAAATTGCTGCATCTGTAACAGCAGTTGTTTGTGACTTACCCCATCTATAACAATGGATTTCATGGTGTGTTCTAAACGTTTCTTTAGCCTGAAAGATTGCAGGATGTCAATAATACCAAGATAAATCAAGAGTCGTTCCCCCTTAGCATTCCGTGCAGGTATTCCTCCAGGACTGAAAGAATCAGATAAAAAACAATATCAAAAATTCATCAAGATATTTCTGCTCATATAGACCCAGGTTCTGAACAGATCAGAGCCTACACAAAAGCATAACTCAATTCAATTGTACTAACTTCCATGACAAAATGTGATTTTAACACTTATTTGCTATCTTCACCTGTAGTATTAAACTTAAAAATTAAGCTCATTGACAAAAACCATCCAAAAATCTTTACAGATTGATAATTTCTATTGATAAATAAAAAATGTTTAACTCCTTTGTAAACAAAATTGAAGATTACTATTATGATTTTTTGGTTGTTCTGCAACAGCTATTAAAATAGATTAGCTTGGGTATAAGCTAGAATATTTACCAATTTTTAATAATCTTCTAAACAAAAACGCATTGTTTAAAATAAATTATAGCCTAGAAAATCATATTTTAGTTAACTATTGTATCATAATAACTTTGTAATAAGAAATAAAAAACTTTTTTATTCATGGAAGCAGGATATGTTTTATCTCAAAAGCATTTCTTTAAGTAATAAAAACAATAGCAAAACTATACTGAGCTTATCTGTCTGATAGTCTTGGCAAGCCTATAGCTCTATATTATCACAAAAACTGTTACACTTAGTTACTAATTACTAAATTTGATACATATTTCTGGGTAATTATTCTTTACTATTAGCCTGAAAACAATTTTAGCATAAAATAAACAGGAGTTTTGTGCAAGAAAACCATCTACCAAATGGGAATTTCCATTAGTAGTAAAGTCAACACACTTGATCATCCCATTATCTACCTGAAGCTGTTGTCAATTATTTCATGAACGAAATATAGCTATCAAAAGTAGGTCTATCCTAATGTAACTGATTACAATGTACTAGCAGTTTTTACCAATTAAAATTAAATTTAATTTATTTAATGGAACTAAATGGAACTATATTATTGCTCAAAGTTAAATAAAAGATTTGCTTCTATCATTCACATAAATTCTAGAAAGAGTTTACTACATCGTACAAAGTAATTAAAAAATATTATTTCATTAAATAAATAGAAACAAATCAAAATTTTAAAAATGAGAATCGTAAATAATTAATGTACTAAATATAAATAGTTCATGGAGCTAAAAAAAAAACCTAGCTTAGCTAGATGTGCTGCTAATTGTTTAAAAAGAAGTTAAAACTGTTATTGACTGTGTCACTCAGATGTGTTGTTACTGTGTAAGACACGGCACACCTAAATCATATACATGCTATGTTAATAAGAAGAAGAAAGTTAGTCGTTTAACACACAATGTTTACCAGGTTTTTACCAAATGACTGTTCCATAAATTGTGTTCAGAAAAAAATTGTTCCATTAAAATTGTAAGACAAACTTGAGTTCTAGTAACGTCCATAAAAAAAAGAATAATTCCTATTTCTATATTCTTTTTAGCAACTAGAATTTTAATTTAGGCGAATAATTATATGCATAAGATCTGAAAGGAAATTACATTGACTATTATATAAAGTTTAAATTAGTTTGTGGTCTTAAGATTTATCTAAAAAAAATTAACTTTTGATACAATAAATGTAATATATGGTGATCAATTTAATGCAACTGAATTTAATCAAATTAAAATTATTTTCAACAATTTAAAAGATGTACAAGTTACCAGGCCACAAACAAATTAAACTGTACATAGACAAAATTCCCTAGCCAGCAAGCAAATATAAGAATGAATGTTAAAATAATGTTAAGTGAAAAGGTTACACAGAGTAGGGGGTTACAATGTGATTAATACAAGTTGTTTTTTTGTTAGCTGGTAAGAAATTGTTTTCATTTTTAGTGTGGTGACATCACATGCATACCAATCTGAAACATGAGAACTGCTCAGCCAATGAGGGATGTAGCTTTCAGACCTGGAGATGATAGCCAATCATTAAGCTTGAAAGTCAGCCATTGGCCTATCAACCAATCACAGCTACTGTTACTGGAGGTAGCCAAACAAGCAATAATATTTGTCATATTAAAATGCCATTGGCTACTTTAATAACTACTATAAATTGAGCAGAAGTGCTCAAAAGCTTTACTTGCATCTATAATAACAGCTTCTTCACAAGAGATTACACTACAGCTCCCCTGAAATTAACTGCCAGTTAAAATTCTATAAACTCTAAGGCTATGAAGTGTTTCAACCTATTAACATGCTATGTTATAAACTCCCATTACAAAAGCAAAATTCCACACCATTAGTGCTAATAAAACTAATGGTTCACTACTTCTGCGGATGTAAGTTGAATAAAACAAAAAAGGTATCCAAATATTATTCTTTTTAAATCAAAAGTTAGTAAAAACTACGTTTATAAAAATCCTTAGGTATCTAAAAGAAATAGCCTTAAAAGTATACTTGTATAAAAATAAGTCAATATATTATATTACAGCTCAACAGCTAAGTTTTATGCCTTTGTTTGATTCTAAATCTACAACTTCTAATATATAATCTCAAAAACATCATAATATTTGTTCATGCCTAATAAAGGATGCATAGCAACATTGCTGCCAACAATGCAAGAAGGAAATTAGATTTAGAAATTCCAAAGTTAATGAAAAAAATGTCAGAAATGAGTGGTGAGGGAAACAGTAGTTTTTACTTTTTTTAAAAAATATACTTCTGTTACCTATTAACTTAGAAAGACATCAACAAAGTATAATCCAAGCCAAGTTAAAAATAAGAGAAGTCTACTTTTGCCAGGAGATATAGCTAAAGAAAGTGTATATGGCGTAAAAAGGTCACTGAGAAGATTGGGTAAAGGAGGGATGGCCTCGGATAACTTACAATTTCTTATCTTCTTCTACTCACAGAAAAGAAAAATGGATCTTTAAAAGATATATCCATAAAATGTGATTCAACACGGTGAAAATACTTTATAAAAAATATATATAAAAATGTAATCATATTAGAAGTGGTTAAGAGGGTAACAAGGGGGAGAACCAAATGTTTTATGATGTCAACCTAAGGGCGCATGCTAGGTGTGTCAAGCGGGTGAAACACTTACGGGACATCCTCATCCTCTTCAATGTCGTCTGTCAAATCTGTGTGGCCTTGAATGGACTCCATGGGTGTGGAGTACTGACCAATTCTTGTTTTAAAAGATTTTCCTCTCTGCAGAGAATTGCGGCCTCCTAAAACAAACAAATATACATCTTGTAGTTTTATACACTAACTACATCACATTCAGTGGCTTGATGTATTCAATATTTTATGTCGTATTTAATAACAATTTTTTTTTCCAATAACGTTTTTTTTTACAAAAATAACTTCTGTAAAATCTTTTATTTTTAAATTTAGAAACTATTATAAAACTTTCTGGTTTTAATATGTTTTTCTCATTTTCAATACAATGTCTTCATATAAAATATAAGTTGATTGACTTTTATTGAGTAGGTCATGACCATATTATGACAAGGATTTCAAAGGTTAATGTACATGGCAGACTTACCAGGTCGACCTTCATGTGCAACTGGACCTGCTGGACCAACATGATCCATCTGATCACTCTGTTGTTGTTGTTGTAACTGTTGCTGGGGAAAGTAAAACATTGAGACTAATTTGACACAACTCATTTCTAATAAAAAAACTCTAATTGTGTAATATCCAGGCCTATTTTGTTCCATTACCTTCTGACAAAAACACAGAAACCATTAATAAATATGCCCACGAACTTTTCCATCATAAGTTCAAATAATTAACTTAAAATTCATTCTAAATTAAAAAGTAAAACAACAAAATGTGAGAATACAGTAATCAAAGCAAATCTTGAATTAATTATCTCCCTTACCTTCTCTTTGTTTGCTAGATCAAGGTTGTAGATGCCCACAAGTAAACTGTAATCCATAATTTTAAAACTCTCCAACACCTGAAAATGATATTCAAGTGCAATGCTAAGTAAATATGCAAAACATGTGTTAAATTACAAATCATTAGAGCAACTGTTGGTTAATAAAATTGATCAAGCCAAAAAAAGATTAAATGTCTTCAGCACCAGTGGCCATATGAGAAGCCTAAAAAAAGACTGATAGACATCACATTGATATTTGTAGAAAGAACAAAGAAATTAACACATACAGGTTTACTATATATGAAAACCAGATTTAAATTTGTAGAAATGAGAACAAGGATATTGGCATATCCATTTTATACATGTTTACCATTTAACATTATATAAATTCCTGATTTAAAATGAAATTTTTTTTTAAAGAAGAAAAAGGAAATAAGTTGATCTATAATCCAAGATGAATTAAAATGGTGTTTATTAATGGTGTTTATTACCCGACAATCCCTCTGCAGAGTTTTGATCAAAGCATCATACGTGTCCTTCTCTAGCTGCAGGCCCTCTGGGTGGTTCTCCATGAAGTCCAGGTCCTTGAGTGTGGGAGAGTTCTTGGACCGTTCATGTTTGGATGCCTTACGCTTGTACGTGCTGCCCTTCATGTCATATTTCTCATGTAGCTTCACAGTAGAGGGGAGGAGGTTGTTCATCACAGTGAACCGAATGTTTTTGCCACCGCACTAAACAAGCAAAGAACATCCAGTAAATATACAGTCTGTGTGATTTTTTTAAAATAATTGGTCTTGTGATATATGAAGGTGCAACATGAATACTATTAATGGAAATTAAAATCTATCTAAACAGCATGCATCTATATAATATGAATACAAAAGATGCTAAATATTTTAAAATTAGGATGAAAAATAATTTCCTTAATTTAAGGGGGAATTACATATTATTAAATTTACTACAATACTTAGTAAATAAAAACTGTTAGAAAAAAAGTTGTTATTTGAAAATGTATTAGTAGGCAAGAAGTAAGCAGTATCCAGCTTCTATACACTTATTTCTAGTTCAAGAATTACAATTTATAAAAATTGTTTTTAATATTTGATTAGCTTTACATTATGTTTTTTTTTTAAGGTAAGATCATTTGCATTACAAAATAAGCATCAAAACTTGTACTTAAGGCAGATTTTACTGTTACTAGGCTAAGTGAGCCATATTACAGCAATAAAGTAACCAACTAAAGAATCCTAGCTTGAATACTAAAACTATAGTCAAATACATTACAATTATCATTGTCCTTAACTATCCATTAAATGTATAAGAAGCATTACATAGAAACTTCTTAAATGCACAAAAGCAAGGCAGTGCTGATGAGCTGGCTAAAAGGTAACGTAGCAATAAAACAAATTGAAATGAATGTGATGAACACTATAAAAGACAAAGTGAAATGATGGTGTACAGGGATGGACCAAGCAGCAGCCACCAGCCTATTGTGTGATTCTTGTGCCAGTTTAAGTACAACATGGAAGCAGCCAGATCATTCTCTGTGATAATGGACACTGTGAGGTGTGTGGGGGAGGGGTGGGGGGGTCAGGTCTTGTGTCCATCCCTGGCAATATGATGACTCACTCTCACTCCTGTCAACCTACTTGTTTTTTATCGTCTTTGGTCGCATGCTTTCTGGCGGTACCCTTAAGCCACTCCTCATTCTCGTGGAGAGAAAAAGGTCTCTGCTGTTACTAGGTCAAGACCTCTACTATATATGCCTAACACTAACACAAATATCTCTCTTTGCTTACAGAAAATTCAACTAGGCTGCTGAGTTAGGCTACTATAGAGTTTATTGTATGCTTAACATTTTGAAGAATCTACTTTTAAATAAACCAATACAAAATTATTGTAACTGAAGACATTTGTCACGCAACATTTATTTCTCTGAATAAACAAAACTCCTACAACTGCAGATTACATGGCCAGGTTAAAACAAACTTTTTAATTGTACAGTAACTAAAGTACACCAACATGATTTTGACTCATTATCTATTTTTTTTACAATGAGTAGTCAATATAAAGCTGATTGTTTATGTAGGTGAAAAGCTAAAAACAACAACCTATCAATAGGTAACATGTGGCAACATTAAAAATATGTGCTCACATCCACAGCTGTTGTTCAAAACAAGAGCTAAAAACAAACTGTCAAGTATTTAAGGACTCTAAAGCTGAACAGTTTTTGACAGGATTGACTTACATCCTCATTAAACTATAATATATTACAAGACAGAAAAAAAAGTGTGATTCTAAAAATCATTTATCTTTCAGCATATCTGATCAAGTAACAGTAGAGACCATCTGGTTAATCGTCTGCGGTTAATTAGTCCTGAGGTTAATTAGGTGACCAGATTGAGAGATGTAATCATGAGCCAACATGTATGCAAACTTGCAAAGTGAACATTCAATAAAAGCATTCCAACTTCAACAAGTAACAAAGAAAAAAAAACATTATTTTTAGACTTCTCTATCTATTGTTAAGTATGATGTTAGTTGGTGTTAAAGATCAGGGTCCCTTAGACTTGGTGAATTAATATCAATGGTCCCATTTACATAAAACAATTGGGGTCATTTTTTAAACTGCTGTCTTTGCACAAAGTACAGCAAGCCTAAAGGAGGCATCCAACTCAAAGTTTAAGAACCCCTGATAAGGACCCATGAAGAAAACAATACACAGTTAACCATATTGTTATAAGAGTTGCATGTGACAATGTTTTCTAAATGTCACATATGACATTATATAAAAGTATTACTTTAATCTAGACTAAATGTGTTATAAATCTAAAAAATTAGTCCTCTAGGTCTAAAATTCAAATTGACAGGGCAACAATTTTTACCCTGATTTATTGATTTGTACTATCATTAACATAAATATTCAATTCCTGAAATAATTCTTCCTTTCTGATTGTTATTTAGATCACCTTTAGGAGTAGTCTAAAATAGAATGGCAATTAACCCTGGTGTTCAACTAAGAAAGGTTACAAGGTAGAAAGCAAAGCTGAAAGGTGGGATAGGGGCAAAGTAAAATCAAAACATCCTGTACTTAGATTATTACTACGTTCTTATGAATAGTATTTATCTTACCATAAAGATGTTAATTACTTAAGATTTTAAAAATGTATTAATAAATTAACTAGTTTGTTAGATTCTCTTTAAAAATGTAGAATGTAAACACTTATTTGCTAAAGATTTTTTAAGTATCTTTTATTTTCATTTTTAAATATTGTAACTTTGAAATAATTAAATTTAACATTAAGCAAACAGGAAACAACTTGTCTTAGAACAACACTGCAAACAATAAGTGAGAGAGGTAGAGGCAGAAAGTGAGTTACCTGGTAGCAATAGAGCCCGTAGAACTTGGGTAACAGAGTCCTCTTGTTCTGGCTGATATTCTGTGGAAACAAGAGCTTCAGTGATGACAGTGTCCATGACAGGGTTAGAAAACATAATTGCCAGATGCCAGGTGACCATCACCATGGGTATGTCATTCACATTATTGGTTGTAATAAGGTAAAGCCAAAACAAGTGGAAGTAAGAGGTCGAGGATATCTTATTCTGGAATTTTATTTCTAATTATTTATTTAATATTATTTCATACATTTAGAGCTTTTCAAACAACAATACTCAAGGTTTATTTTTAAATTTTAATTTAAAATAATATAATTAAAAAATGTCACTATCATATTCCAAAGCAGAACCAGTAAAACTAACATAGTATATAGACAATGTGTTTAATAAATTCTTCATTGGTTTCCAATGGACATAAATAATGCTTTGTCTAAGAACTCAATTCAGACAGGAGGTAAAAAAAAAACCAAGTGAAAACAGTAAGAAAATGTTCTTGGTTAAAAACAAATCATTTGTACCATCTATAGCAAATAAAGTCAACAAATGTTTAAACAAGTCGAAGGAAGAAAATTGTACACTTTTTCTTGTGGTCAATGGGAAAACATCTTGAATTAATTTCACACCATCATAACAAGGAGGTAGTAAACAGCCTCCTATAATGTAACTTTCAATACAACCTAGGAAACTTGCCAACTTACCAAAAAATAGCCAGGCAAAAGCTTCTGTAAAAACTCTGCCTCCTTATGCTGCACTGTTTTAATGATGAACTCGTCGTCCTGGGTAAGGTAGAAGATGCTTCCACTGGCGCCAGGGTTGGAGAGTTCCTTCAGTGGCTCGTCACACAAGGATAACTATTGTGGAGACAAACATTTCTTGTAAGATGGATGCAAAGTCTGGGTTGGGCCATTGAAATAAACATACTTTAGGGGACAAGCATCTATATATATAATTCTCTTCTTGGAGACCCTAGAAAACACCAAGCTGTAAGCGCGCTCCATACCACCCCACCCCTACATGGTCTGGTGAGCTGTGGTTCACGCTAAATGTTTACAATTGTAGACGGCTATTAGGGGCAGATAATTTAGTTTGAAACTATTTTAAACTTAGGGGAGGTAACTAAGAGGAGGCTGCTTTCACAGGGGGGAGGGTGGTTTGGGGAAAGGAGGGGGGGGGTATCGTCCTTAACGAGCTACTGATAGTGTTTTAAAGTAAATATATTCAGTGGCAGCATTGGTACTGTCGAATTCACAAATTATGAATTACTGAAAAGTAGAAAATAAAACAACTAAATAGCGTATGATACGCAGCGGGTCGGCTCGTTACAGATATTTCAAAGATGGGGGTTTAAAACCTTCATGGTTGGACATTAAAAACCATTGTTTTTGATTAAGACAAGAGGTTTTTAGTGAAGTACCTTGTTTTGAATTTGAGCAACACATTTTTGTTAAACTTGCTTCAAATGCTATATTTGTTTCGTTTAAGTTGAAGTGTTTTTTACTTAAAGCAACCTAATTTTTAATTTACTTTTTTTTTTAAATTTTAGATACTTCTAAAATCAAACAATAGTACTGTGATTTCACAACTACATTCAACTTGATTAGTTTCCTTATCGGACTCTAACAGTAAAACCAGTCTAAACAAAAAACGATGCTTAATGCTGCTAACTAAATTGCTAAACAGCTGCTGTATGTTAATCACTGTTCCTACTTATTCGCAGCAACATCTGTTGCTTATCATTAATGCATCCAACTGCATGGTTACTATTCTGTGTACTTTATGCCTCTGTGTTCTCTTTACGCTGGGTTATTTATAACAATAAAATGAGTCATACTTTTAAAATATGTACCTGATCTTACAGTTTGGCACACAAACACACCTAAAGAGTTTTAATATCTCTTGTCTAAACACCCGCCACAACCACCCAGGGAATTAATATTCCAACCATTTTCCTGAAACATTTATTTTTACCTGGATATTTGAGCCTTTTTTTTAAGATGAGTCCAAATTTTCTTTTGTTTTTCTTTTGTATATGTAATATTTAAAACCGCTGATTAACACTTTATGTCAAAATGTCCATTAAAATACCAACAGTCTGTAAACTGCGAACTTGCTCAAACATCTTTAATATGTAGTAGTCTTATATTAGCCTCATTGCAGCTACCAGCTGAATTAATTACCTCCTAGAACAGGCCTTAGCCTTAGAATTATATTCTATAACTAACAGACAGTACAACAAATTGACTTAAGGATAAGACTGAACAAGGGAAGCTACTGTACCATAAAATCATCTGGTTGAATTCCAAACAAGTCACGAAAATATCTGAAGGCAACTGGGGCGTAGGTCTTGAACCTAAAGTCACTGTAATGGTGAGCTGGGGTCAAGTTGCTTCCATCACTGTAACACAGAAAATAAGAAACCTATAAGTCAGCTTTACAAGCAGGTTCATAAGTTAAGCAATATAACCAATGTAATCTTGTACCTAAAATATTAAGTCTAATGAAATAGTTCTTTCAGTCATTGGTATGTATTATTTAATATGATTTTATGGTCAACAGTATGCACAGCCACATCAATCTTACAGACGTAAACATTTAGTTATCATTAAATAAAGTCACCCATTACAAAATGCTTGCCGTGCAATTTATTTTATGTGTAAGCAAACAAGAAAGTATCAAATACCCTGGAAAAAACACGACCTCCACCACACCAAAATCTTGCATCAGCACATCTCTCTCAGGTTTGGATGACAGTCCACCAACACTTTGACCAATGCCCAGCTGAATTGCTGCCATCAATTCCGAAGTTGGTTTCTACAAACATTACAAACAGACCCAATTATTTGAAGAAAATTTGTTTTTAATTATATAAAATTACACTATATCTTTTTTCCATCTGCTCATCAAGATACTTCGTAGAATTGTTTATTATATATAGCAGAGGACACAAAGAAAATTACTTCAATTTTACAAATATTAATGTTTAAATTAATAATACTCCTACAAAACAAAAACTTACCTGACTTCCATTAGATGAACATTGTCCCACTTCAGATACTCATAACATAAACTCATCATACCAGCCATACCAGCAATACAACACACAGCCATACCAGCAATACAACACAAACTTAAAAGCTTGTCCACTAGCTCACATAGTTGTAGGTGCAGTTACTGGACACAACATTCCAAGCACAAACAGACAAACTTACCGTCCGCTTGAGCCATTCCTGCAGCCATGCGTCCTTGCACTCTAAATCTGGACCGCCAGCATTGCACTCTTGATCATAGTAGCGCCATATCTCATGGACATGGTACCAGACAAAGTTATCCACACTGAACCCAAATTTCTCCATTTCTCCCTGCACGCTTACATAAGTGTCACATTTTCTCTTGCCTTAGCACTGGGTATCATTAATCATTGTTTATATAGCACTATTAATCATATTCACTGGAAAACTTCCAATAGAAAGACTGGTAACAGTAGAAATATTTAATGCAACCTTTTCTAAAGTACCATTGCTACCAAAGTTACACTCTCTAGTCAACCATAAAACCAACTTTAGATCCAACTAAAGCATGACAGTCTAGCTTATGAATGTAATTTTGTTTTTTTATTTATTATCTTAAACACTATTAAAATGACTGGGCTATCTCACTATTATAAAACCTAAAAAAAAAATGTAATAATCGCTGTTAATGCACAATGTATGTAATGTAAAATGTATGAACAACTCCAATACAAAACCATCCATATGAATATGCCACAGAATGCCACCATAACGTTAAGAAAAAAATCAGAGACATGATGAAAAATTGACCAAATGCCTTTTTTTAACATATACAGCATTGAGCAACACACGTCAAAAACAGTAAAATCAATGTATCACCTCCCCAACTGTGTGTTTAAATCAAATAATAATCCTATCAGGGGAGTAATGATAGCACTCCACTGTCAAGAGATCTGAGAGAGGAAAAAGCTGACAGACACAAAAGCTTCAGTTATTGATTGTCTACCAGACAGCATTCATAGATATTATCTGGCTTTCATACATGACTTACATGCAATTAAATACAGACAAGAGGTTCAGGGGGAGTTCTAGAAGGGAATCTGATATCAATAATAAGTGGATTCAAGAAGTGGGACTAGCTCAGCATGACAAATTTCAAGACTTTTATTTAGTGTATAGCTATACCTTATCCTAACCCTCCCCTAAACCTATTCCTGAAACTAACAACAATACTAGCAGGAAAACATTCCTAACCCTCCCCTAAACCTATTCCTGAAACTAACAACAATACTAGCAGGAAAAAAAAAAACTTCAATACTTCTATTGTCAGCATTTTCCTAAAACAAAAAATTGCAACTTTTATGTGCTGCACTTAAATTTACTTTATTATCCTGTTAAGCTATACACTATTTATACACATATAAACCTAACCAAAGGCTTATCAAATACTAAACCCAAATCTAAACATATTCTAACCCTTAATTTGATTAACTGCAAATTATCAGTCTTGACAGTAAAGCACAAAAACTGCTATGAAGTGAATGTAGGGACTAAAGCAGCACTGACACATCATTAGTACAGCTTACAGGTACTTAGCTGAGCTGTAACACCCCCTTCTGGAAGTGTAGGTGAGCAGTTGACAGGCAATCAGCAGATCAGCAGTCAAGTGACCTTGACATTGAGAGGATAATGTGTGGAGAATCAGATTGGGTGTGGTTTGCCAATATAAAAAAAATAGGCTAGGTATGAGTAATAACAAAGTAGGCGTCACACTCAGCTTCATGACAAAATGAAGAGCAAGACTGCTTAATAATATCCTGTTACTTTCCTAATGGTGGTCACTATATACTTGACTAGGATAGGTTTGATAATAATTGTATTTCTTATAAAAAAAATACATTGTGGAGTAGTTTTAGCCAAGATAACATTGTTTTGCAAGCCACATTATGTTGGCCTAATGGAAAACAGCAATAGCAATTTGTCTGGGCCCAAATTTTACACTGGTTGACATAAAAAAAAAGAAAACAAGCCAATTATGTTGTTACATAAATATTTTAAGTGAGCCAATTATACTTGTTTTTGAGCTAATCATTTACATGATTTGGTGCATGTGGTGGGGGTGGCATCTTATAAATGGATAGAAGGGAGGCTTAGGGTGCTGCCCCTTAGTTTTTAACCATGGTTAGTCTTTAGTTTGTTAGTGGTGTCATTATAGAATGTCATGTGTTGGGGTTAACCATAAACATCAAGCTTCTTAAAACGATTTAGTAAAACAGTCAAACCCCGTAAAAAATTACGTTACACCCCAGCCTACCACATCCCTTAATTAAGTCTTTAAAAAAAAAAAAAAAAAAAAAAAGGGGGGGGGGGGTTTATTCAATGTACATAGCTTTAAAATGCGAAATAATCGCAATTCTCCAGAATGGAAATTGCGTTAAAAAGGACTGTTTCACTATTTAAAATATCCCCCCCCCCGTAGCACTTTAAGTGTGGCGTGGTTTATAAAAAGCCCCAAGCTACCCATACAGGCCATCAGATCTCCCGAGTAGAAAGTTGTCCGGGACAATGTCCAACAATACACTGACGCATCACATGTCTCCCAGCGTCAAATGGACGGCAAGCTTTTCAAAGCTCAAGAAATTACTGTTGCTAAAAATAGCCTAGGAGCAGTCAGGAGCGAGACTAACTGCTGCCATCAATAAGTGCAAGTTTAGCATCAACATCTGCACAGCTTGTCTGCATAGACAAAAATATATATAAACCAACCAATAATTATGGCGCAATCGCCAGCAATCACCACGTAGTCTACATGTACACCGGCACACGGTGCTTGTGAACTAACTAGCAGTCAACTAAATATTGCTTAGCTTCCGGTTTAATACAGTGAAGTTAATGATGATGACGCAAATGGATGATGACGGTGGAAATTTTTAACAGACCAAGTGTGGAACAGATTGATGGTCACCAGGAACTAACAAACACGGCACAATTCGATGGTCATTTGACATAAACAAGCACATTTTTTTTAAAGTTTACCGACAAAATCAAGATAATGGAATGGGGAAGGGAGGTTAGAATATTTTTAACAAGAGGCCGACCAAGGAGGACCTGCAGACGTGACATGGACAAAGACACCAAGAAGATAGATTGGATACACATGAGGACAGTTGGAGAGACTAGTCCAGGACAGAGATGCCTGGGAAGCTCTTGTCGACGGCCTATGTCTCAGGTGGGGCGACAGGCCAGCATAGCCTAACCTAATCAATTGTATCTAGATCGATCTTGTTTTGTTTTGGTATAGATCTATATTAGTCAAGCTGGCTGGTACAGTCCCACGTGTGACCATGTGCCGTGTATATTTATGCTTGATTTTAACCACCCGTCCCTAGACGAAACACACCCGGGCATAAACTAGTCCGATAGGGCGGACTACCACATGACAAACGCATTTCTCATAGCTAACTAGTCCTGTGCTCAACAAAAAAAAAAAAAAAAAAAAAAACACAAGAAACCAACTCGATGCATGATCCTAGCCCAACTAATTACACCATTATCTTGGTACTAGATGTGCACTTAAGTGACACAATTTACATATTAAGCTAGTCGAAAGGAAGACCGCCGAAATGGTGTACTCTACTTTTAATGTAAACGGGCCAAGCAAACACCATTATGCATAACCTGCGATCTCTCTCACTCGCTCATATAGATATATCACGTGATCAATTGTATTGACCTAACGACACTGCGTCATAAGTTAACGCGAATGAGGTCACCGAATTAACACGTGACACCTGTGTCGCGTGTCACTGATTGACGAACACAGCTGGTAAATCACCTGCCAACACACACGTGTCGATTTAACAAATACAACTATTGCGTAAAAACTGACAACGCTGGTAAAGAATGAACTTAAAATTTTAAAAAAAATATATTCCTGAAGTGGTACTTGAACTTTAACCCTAACGACACCTAGCCAATCAGTGACTGCCATAAATTAATCTAAAAATAACTAACCGCAAGAATGCATTCATATTTTAGAACTCTGACAGCTACGTCTACTCCATTACTAATGACTTCTAGATTACTAAACAAACATTCCTATACTAACATGACCAGCCAACAAATGTCCATCAGTGTTTAGACATGGCTGGACCAAAGCTGTAAGAGCCGTGTGACGTAACAGGCACACAGCGTCATTTGACCTAGAACGCCCCTATTCATTAACGGTCTTTTCCGAAAAAGAGGTCACCAGAACAGGCGGGGTCGTATAGCCGTATAATCACATTATCTGCGGGTTATTACGTAGGCCTCAAGATTTTAACAGGTAAAAAAATAGTGCTAAGCTTTTAAACGGAACAACATAAACCGTGCCCAACATTCGATTAATCTAGTCTGTCACCGCCGTGAAGATAACTTGTGTGTTTATACTAGAGGTATTCGTTTTCGTATTAGGCTATGCGGCTACGTATTTTATTCGCATGGCTTATATTGACAGTTAGGTCAACTCTAACACTCTAAGTATCCATTTTGGCAAGGAAATTAAAGCTATTGTCACCAAATAACACAAGTTTTAACATTTTACTTGATTCTAAGGCGATGATAAACATACGTATCCAGGGACATGACAATAATATAAAAACATAAAATGCTATTTCCTAGAATTTTCTATTATAGCTTCATAGGTAGGTCTATTTATGTATTGATAAGAGTGATATCGATTCCAGTTATCAAAGTTTTCTTTTCTCAACTTTGGACTTAAACTTTTTTAATTTCTAAACTTAATTAAAACACAACGCCCTGTAT